AAACAGCAAAGGGAAGCATTTGAAGAGATTAAAAAGATAATAAGCTCAACCCCTGTACTAGCTCTACTGACCAATGACGGTCAATACCGAGTCAAAGCAGATAGTAGTGACTACACTCTAGGAGCTGTACTCTCCCAAGAACAGGACGGAATCTGGAATCCAATAGCTTACTTATCGAAATCTCTAAACAAAACAGAAAGAAACTACAAGATTTACGATAAAGAGCTACTAGCCATTATGACAGCTTTAGAGGAATAGCACCATTACCTAATGGATGCCGCAAAGGAATTTGAGATCTGGACCGATCATCAAAATCTTACCTATTTCAAACAACCTCAGAAGCTGAACAGAAGGCAAGCTAGATGGGTTAGCGAACTGGCCAATTATCATTTTACACTTCACCACAAGCCAGGAGCAACTCACATCAAAGCAGACTTACTATCCAGACGACCTGACAACAAAGGAGAGAATGACAACAAAAACGTAATTGTACTCAAAGACGATCTATTTAGAATAAATATGTCTCTAACAGGGAAACAAAGACAGGAGATAGAAGAAGTAGAAGCAGAGACTATTGAAATATTCAAATGGATCAAAAAGAGAATGAATAATGTTGACAAAGTCGTAAAAAAGGTTGAGGACAAGATACAGAACCACCAAGATGGTTGGTGGACCGATGAAGGACACATATTCTTCAAAGGTTGAATGTATGTTCCAAAAGACCGAAAAGTCAGGGAAACGATTATCAGAGATCATCACGATTCCGTTGTTGACGGTCATCCAGGCCGGTATAAAACGAAGGAACTGATCACTAGAACATATTGGTGGCCGTACATGGATAAAGACATCCAAGAGTACATAACAGGGTGCAAAACTTGCCAAAGAACCAAAATAGATCACCAGAAAAAGGCAGCACCACTACACCCAAATGAGATCCCAAGCTGCCCCTGGCAAATCATATCAATGGATCTCATCGGACCGTTACCCAAATCTAAAGGTTACAACACGATAATGGTGATTATTGATCAATTCTCAAAGATGATTAAGTTATTACCAACTCATGCCGAGCTAAATTCTGAAGGAGTAGCAAGATTATTCCAGAGACAATGTTTTCAGATATCATGGATTACCTGATAAGATCATATCAGACCGAGGAGTCCAATTTGTCTCGAACTTTATCAAAGATCTCTACCAACTTCTAGGAATAAAGGGAAACCCGTCCACAGCCTATCATCCACAAATAGATGGACAAATGGAGAGGATTAATCAAGAGGTTGAACAATACCTCTGAATCTTCGTAAACCACAAGCAGGACAATTGGGCAGAATGGTTACCCCTAGCAGAGTTCTTGTACAACAACAAAGAACATTCAGCTACTGGATATAGCCCCTTTTATTTAAATTATGGACAGCATCCAAAAGTAGTTACTGTGATTAGGAAGACAGTGAAGAGTGAAAGTGCAGAAGAGTTTGTAGAAAGGATGAAGGAAGTACAACAGAATGCGGAAAAATCTCTGGTAAAGGCAGCCGAGATTATGAAAAGATTGTACAACAAAAACAAAAAAGACAGTGTGGAATATCAACCAGGGGACAAAGTCTAGGTCAAAGCGGAACACATCACAATTGATTGACCATCAAAGAAGTTGGATGACAAACAACACGGACCCTTTGTAGTCAAAAAAGAAACCGGACCGGCAGCATACAAGCTTAAATTGCCCAGTAAATGGAAAAATGTATACCTGATATTCAATGAAAACCTTCTACATCCATATAAAGAACCAATGTTCCCTGGGAAAAAGAAACCCAAACCACCACCACCTGCAGAAGTCGACGGCCAAAGAGAATATGAGGTTGAACAAATACTTGATTCATGATTGAAACGTGGCAAGTTAGAATACTTAGTTCATTGGAAAGGTTACCGAAAAGAAGAACAAACATGGGAACCCGAGAGCAATGTAAAAAACTCTCCAGACTTAGTAAAAGATTTCCACAATCACTTCCCCGCAGCACCCCAGAGAATCAACTTTGTATTACATTTCCAACCCTTCAAAAACCTCACTCAACCTTCATATAACCGCAAACTGTTTAATTGGGAAAATGGCAAACTTGAACCTACCTTTCAAGATGAAAGTCCTAAAGGGGGGGTAATGTCACAATCTCAATCTCCTTATCTATCCAACTCTGACGTAGAAACACTTGTTTCACCTTATCTAATCAATATGTAGTGTTTATCTTATCTTGTCACATGACTGTAGGTCACCTGACTACTTACTCAGCATACATGCCTTCTCCTCATGTTTCTCAGTCAGCGCCTCAAGGCTGACATGTTCCTACATATATATAAGTAGCTATTTAACACTGTACATACCCTAGCTTTTGATTTCCTCTCAATATACCTTGTTCAACTACTTGCTAGAGATTCGACATTACCACTCCGTTAGTTCAGCATAAGTGGTTGCGTTATAGTAGTGCTCACCCATACTCATCATAAGCCCCTATCTTCTATAATTCAACTATCCCTCCTCCTCAAAACCCACACCCATACATCCCTGGGTTTTACTTTGAAGGATCATTATACATACCACCCCACGAACAACCAGACCACCCCACTGTTCTAGGAGGCAAAGCCCATACACAAGTTCCGTGGAATCTGGGAGGATTGTGTGTCAGTTTGTTTTTGTGTGTGGTTTTCTAACAACAGTTCTCATCATCAACACCGCATGACACAGTGTGTGAAAACTACAGAAGAGAGTTAAAGAGGAGAATGAAATTTAAAGGTCCAAAAATTATGTATCGTAACAATCGCTCCACAGTTTGATAATGTTGTCATATTAGACTCATTAGAAGCCAAGTCAACAGGCATTGCTGGTAATATTCTTCTCTAATTTCATGATCAGTTCCAGGTTGTGAATTAATGTTTCATGACATAGGTACACATGTTGGAAGAGTTAAAGTAATATTCAAGCTCCCTGCCATTTTTCACGGTGGTTCGGTTGGTGTACCAAAATATTGGCCCAAAATTCTATTGGTGTACATTGAATGGTACACCAAGTTGAAAGGTAGTGCAGATCCAGCACATATGATGTATGTGGTTACAGAACCTGCACTTAGAGCTGATGGTACTCCACCAGTTTCCATAGTACCATTGAGCAGTATACGACAAGGCTGCCACTTGTTGCCTTTGTTTGGAAAAGATCAAGTGCCTGCTCACTGAGGTGCAGAAAATGCTTTGGATGTTTGTGATAGATTTCTATTAAATAATTGGGCTGGTTTGATTGCATACCAAACTATTTGGTGAATATTAATTTTATCGTCATTAGTATCAGAAAAAGGTTCTCATAGACATAAATGAGCTGGTATAGCTGGTATAGCTGATATAGTAACTATAAGGCTTCACATAGAGATTTATTGGCTATAATAGGAATTTAATAGCTATCATAGCAGCTATAGAAACATACCCAGCTATATAGCAAAATGCTTTTTCCTGATGTAGTCTGCCATACGTTTCCTCTGCACGTTCTCATATTCCTCATGGACTCTGTAGTTTAGACCTTATGGTACAATCCCCCCACATATGATTTTCCCTTGCTAGATGTAATTGTCCGCATGGAACTCCATACCTATATTACGAGTTACTCCTTACAAACTCCCATCCCTCCAATAGTATATAAGCCGTCGCTCCTGTATGTTATGATAACACATTTTCGGACCTTTAATTTTCAACCTTTTACTATAGTTTTCACACTCCATGCCATGCGGCACTTTCCCTTTTGTTCAAACTCCACTATCTCGCGCTGCGCTGCCTTTCTTTCTATTTTAGATACAAGTCTCTCATGCAGTGGAGCTGATTACACGGGCTGCGCCCTCTGACATCATCAGCCACTGCCTTCATCAACTGTATAGTACATATGTACAAACAAACCTGTAGTAGTATATATACCCCAATAGATCAAGGAGACTCCTCAGCGAGCCCTCCTGTTGTTTACCCACAACTAACTCGGTCCTACCTAAGGGGTAACCACTCCCTCATCACTACCTTTATAGTTTGTTCTAGTCGTGCACCAGAGTAACTAACTCTTGGTTGTTACACTGTACTCTGTTCCTGCAGTTTGAATATCAATCGGTTCCCCTCACCTTTATTCAAGTCTCCTTCTAAGTTTTCTGGTCCTTCTCCAAAGGACCTTTACTCCATTCCACCTTTTATCCTCTACTCTCACCCATTCACTCTGACAAGTTAGGGACCAAGGTCTGCGGAAGGGCCTAATGCACAAGCTAAGTCAATCCCCAACCTTGTACTCTGTTCTGCTCCCCACTTTATCTCTGCACTCCGAACTCCACTCCTCCTATGGTTGCGGTTCTGACAGGGGTGAATGACATATGATGAAGGAGTAGGTTGGATAGGAATAGTATTGGGAGTAGGAAAGTGATGGTAATGCGGACCCAGCCACAATGATAACTTTACAAAAAGCTAAGCCAACTCCCAACCTTATACTCTGTTCCACTCCCCAACACACCTCCAAACTCCAAGGTATTGTTGTACTTGCTACTCACCTCAGTCCGAGTTTTTTGGAACTGAGGTGGCAGCATGTACTGTGGCTGAATATAAGTACTCTGTTATGTAAGCTTCCTTTCCCATTATCCTGTAGTCGTTTCGAGAAGACAACCCAAAAACAACAAGGGATCCTTTCGAGAGGCGAGGGCACTGGAGATGATTAGAATCTATTTTTAGATTATTGATGGATTGCGGGCCGGCGGGATGTTCGGTCTAATTCCCCCAACCAAAGAACCCGGAAAAAAAGACCAGAAGAAGCCCTGTCTGAGGTGTGGTGATGCAATGACCTGGTATGATGTCATGATCATTCGTGAGCACACCTTGCTATGAAACTATGGCCCAAACTCTAAATCTATCTCCAGGTGCATCATGATAATAGTACGACCGAATGGATGGCATTCCCTTCCTTTAAAGTCGCCTTCGTACGACCCACAAAACCAGCCTCTGTAATGGTCCGTCCTACGGTCAAGCTTGCCACGTCTCAACTTTTCCAGCTGCGCTCGCATACAGTGCCTCAGGAGAGACGAGTATCATTAGCATATGAACGAGCCAAAGCTATAGCTCGACTATATGGTAGTTGTATCCATTCATTGCAGTATGCCGTTCAGTTGACCATGACCAGACTTTACAGCGGAAGACGTTTTGAATTTATCTCCCAAATTTTGGCAGATGCATATGGACCCTATATTATGCGTGGATACTGCTGCGACTACATTGCTAATTATGCAATATAATCTATTCGCTGGCACATTGGCTGTTTATGCTGCCAATAGACCTGACTTACAGCAAGTACTTATTGAGGCTTTATCTTATCAAGTATCGTGAGTTTACCAAGAATCCAGATGGCATAAAATCTTACTCAAGTAATTGCCAGCTGTCTGTTTTGCCTCACAGAAGTGGGCCATGGATTGGATGCGATTCACATCGAGACCACGGCTACGCTACTGCCGGATGGAGGGTTTGAGCTACACACCCCTAACGAGCAAGCTGCGAAGTAAGCTCGCACCCTCTCTTTTGAACTCCACAAAACCTGACCAAGCACTAGACACATGCCTCCTACAGCACCGGCAGGTCTACCAACTATTGCCATTATTTTTGCCCGAACAATTTTTGATGCCGAAGATAGGGGAATCAAACCTTTCCTGGTCGCGATAAACGATGGTTATGCTATGAATAGAGGTATATCTTGCAAGTAAGCGTCCATTACTATCTGCCGTAGGGTCGTCGTTGATTCAAGATAGAGTTATCCCTTATCGCGGTGGCTATCATCATATTAATCATGCGTTAACCTATTTCGACCATGTTTATCTCCCGCAAAGTGCGTTGTTGGGCAGCGATTCACTGCCTACCGATCGTCGGAATGCGTTTCTCGAAGGAATAAACCGGGTTGCAAGTGGTGGTCTTGCCATAGCTTGTATCGCCATTCCTTATTTGCAGCTGTCGTCTTCTATAGCTGCTCGATACAGCCTGCGCCGTAAAATCGTCGATGCAGTATCTGGAAAGCCCCAGCCCATAATAGCCTTGAGGACACAACAAATCCCAGTCCTGACTGCTTTAGTCCAATCGTTTGTGTTGCGAGCACTGCAATCAGCAGTCATTCGAGAGTTCGTAAATCATGAGCTGGACGTCAGGATTCGTCATGGTATAGCCGCTATTTCGAAGGTCGTCACCATTCAACAAACACAAAGCATGCAATTAATGTTGAGTGACCGCTGTGGTGCTCAAGGACTTTATTGTCATAATCAAATCATCGAGTTGCATGTATGTATCGGGACCAGTTGATATTTCAATGCTGATTTCTTGTTCTTTCAGACCTCCCTACGAGGTGCGGCAATTGCTGAAGGAGATGTACTGGTGCTCTCAATTCGTAGGGTTTACCCGCCACGAGTACTATCTTCACTAACATCGAATGTGTGTTGACAGGACTAGCCAGCGAATTATTGCTAGGAAGATATTCTATGCCTCCTTCAACAGAACCCGACAGCCTTCTCGCCCGACACGAGGCAGGGCTATTCAAAGAACTCGGACAGCTATTAACAAACATTACTCACCATCGCAGCGAGAAATTCAACAATCTGATTTTGCCACAATGCATGCCATTGGTAGAAGCTATTGGCCATAGAATGGCTTATGATGCTGCTGTAAAGGAAGGAGTTCCTTCTTACATCAGTAATCTCTATATCGCCAGTGTCGTCAAGCTCGACTCTTCTTGGTACGTTCAGCACGCTGGACTAACGCGACAGATGCAAGTCGCGATGGAAGAAGCCGCCGTCAGTGCTGCATATCCTTGTCTGCAGGGAATGTTAGACCAAATCGATGTCGACCCATACATAACGGCTCCCATTGTGTCGGATAGGCAATGGAGTGAATTCGTAGACAGCTTGGACACTATCGGAGGGGGAAATGACTCCGGCAGGTCTTCTTTGTGTTCGACATCGACATCATTAGACAAACAGAATCTGGCACGCTTGTGAAGCTTTCCGGATGTAATTCACTAGCATTCTCTGCCTTCTATGGATTTATGCAAACCGACGTCAATATAAACGAGTATTATACTGCGGTTTACTTGAAAAAAGATGTCTAGTAGTTGTTAGTATAAATCACGATATCATGTATACTCCTCAAATCAATATCATTCTATGTTTGATAATTGCGCTGATCTTCATATCTCCAATAGTGTTACTGCACCGGAATTAGAGCCCACTGAAATAAACCCTGTTTCTTCATCATAATCCAAACACGTCCAATTATTCAAAGGATTGGTCCATAGTGCCTTTGTCTTAACTTCTGAACGATCGCCCTGAAGCACTCCTGGGAAAATACCTGCCACAAGGGTTTCGTCCCGCGCAAGTGAGTGGGGTAGTGGTATTTGTTGAAGATGGACGTCAGGAGATATCAATCCCACAGCTGATCGATCTTTCGGCTGCACCCATACTGCGGTACCGAACGGACCCAAAGCTATATCGGTACAACGGAGGGGTCCATGGTGAGCTGACACCACCTCAGCCGAGGACTGAAACGGAAACAAGTATGGCGAGACAGTCGTTATTAGATCTTGATTTGAAGAAGATGCATGATTGTAGGTTGAGTTTGGTTCCAGGGTATACATATGAAGCCTGAGTTGGTAGAGAGACCAAGGATCGTCACTTTTAGTTCGTGCCAGAATTATTACTGGCTGATATTCGCAACACGCTTGTCTCTGTCCGAAGGGATGTAAAGGCTTGATCGATACCGACACGCCGTCAACCCAACCGAAGGAATGGCTAGCAACGGACAACTGCGCGGCTGTTGTTGGATATGGCGACAAGGTAGGTTCTGCAAATACATGGATGGAGCGTGCTCTAACGACGAGTATACTTTTATGAGCGAAAACAACCTGGACACTATGGTCCTGGACGATAGTCAATAAATATAACACACTGACAGCAGCACAATTCACCTGCCAGACCTCAGATTCGGAACCATTGCGCAGAATAGCGTACGTGTTTTCCCTCCAATTCCATATCACCGTTTCAGCTAAGGTATCAGTCAGTGCAATTAAATCACCGCATAATGCAGTGGGTCGATGGTGGGTATCAACCGTCGTTAATGTTTGGAACGTGGTATCCTGTTCGCCGATGCAAGAGAGGACTTCGACTCTTGATGAACTGTATATATCTAAGTCACGTCAAGCATGAACAAAAATCGATCCGCTACCGACCCGCTCTGTTGTATGGAAACAGCTAACACTGCCTCGGAACCAGGCTTTGTATTGACGGTAAGACCGCTGAAAATAGCGCCTTTTGGACCCCATTCGGCCGTCTTCCGAAAACCACTATTTACGCCCTCGCCTTCCTTGGCATCCCAGATTGTGACGACTGACCATATACCCTTTGACACGGTGAGGATTCTTTTCCCATCATGACCAGGAACAAAGCGAATATAGTCGATGGGACTACTTGGATTGGCGTTAAAAGTAATTGTGCGACGAGGTTCTGATACGGAAGAACGCCATCTCCTTCCCAGGCGATACGCACGACAAGTTCGCCGCTCCAGTTCAGTGCAGTCAAATGAGTTTAGGGGTAACTGTGTGAATGGAAATCCTTGTTGCAAAACGTGAGTTATACATGCATTACGCCATACGGTATGTTGCTTGGAAATGCAATTAAGACGCTTGCATGCCTTTAAGTGATACCTCTTAGTTAAGCTGTCGAGCTATATGCGTAACATTACTCACCTGTCTGATGATCAAGAGCTGAGGTATGGACAGGAAAGACAGAATGCAAATAAGAGTATCGTCGTCGATAGTGTCCAAAGAGTAACCGCCCATTTTTTGTAAATCTATTTACAGACTACACCACCGGATATGTGGTCCTGGTCCGGTTCCCATTCGACGATTTAAGTGAGACTACGCATGTAAACAGGTATCAAGATATCTGGCAGGTGGTATGTTGTCTTGAGCTGGAATCTACTTGGTGCAGACTCGGCAGACTCCGTCTCAGTTGTAGCTCCGCCTCAACGAGAGCTGGCCCCGTAAACTCTCGATAATTGGTGCAGTTTCAAGTAACTTATTATATCTGCTGCCAATGAGTCTTTCTTCGTTCTTTTCGTCCTTCCTGCCTGTCGTACACGCAGACGCGCCGGAGGAGAATCAAATAAAGGGAGAGCAAGAGCAAAAAGAGGAGGAGCCCACGGAGGAAGCAGAGGCAGCGGAGGAACCGGAAGAAGAGGAAGAGCCCGAAGATGTTTGTTTCTTGATACTCGGAGACGCAAACTCATTTTACTGAACTTATGTTGTAGATTCATCCCGCTATAAGGGAGGAATGCCAAGAGACAGCAAAGTGCGCCCCTCTGACGAAGCATTTCCAGCACTGCCAAGAGAAAGTATCAGCTGGTGAAGGCTACAAGGGCGAAGACTGTGTGGAGGAACTGTAAGTGTATTTTTCTACCTTTGTACAATATGAGACTTATTTATCCGACTATTTCTAGATGTAAGTCATGTTTTACTATTGACCACTCGGTTTATGATTTTTGCTCACAATGTGTTGTTTGATTATTCACTACTCTGTGTAGTCCAGTAAGTTTCATGCTTTTATGTACACGTGCGAGTCTAATCACATTTTTTTTGTAGCATGATGCACTGTGTCGACGTACGTTTCTCTTTTGGCCTTGTTCCTCTACTACTTATTCAAAACTTCATTAGGCTTGTGCTGCACCAAAATTGTTCTCCAAGCTGCGTTAGCTGGCTCGTATCTTCGTACGTTTTCAAACAATTTTTCTAGTCCCGCGTTTTAAATGTTTTCATAGTTTAGATTAATTATGGGCCTCCGTATTTAGAGTATACAATTCTTTTAACCACTCTGTCTCTGCCAATAATGGGTGGTCCATCATTGATGTGATTTTCGTAAAACCGTCCTATCACCGAAATGCGACAATTCAGTTGATCCTTTGTCTCGAATACTTTCAAGTTATGACTTTGTGCGACAGTCGTCGATCGCATGTCTCCGTCCGAAGTGCTCCCGGATGTTTTCCTGTGAAGGTGAACTCACATTGTAGAGCCTTTGCAAGTAGTAAAGAAGAAGCCCAACAATCGCAAATTTCACTCACACAATTGCCAACTGACACCGCGATATATGGCTCTTTGCGCTTCCCTCCACGATACAGCAATATATGTCGACACTAGTCTCTCGTAGGCAGTCCAAAATTTTTGAAGGAAGAGAGTCGTTCCCTCTCACATCAACTCAGGGTTTTGTTCCGAGCAACCTCTACGAGGTGAAGCCCATCAACTGACTGAGATACCATCTCATTCAGGCTAATGGCTCGGACGGCAAACTTTGGCGACCACTTGTGGTGTAGCCAGACGCTGTCGTTATGGAATGTGGGGCGTAAGGGATTAACCACCCGGTTTCGCATGCAGACCTACCGATGTTTCTCTCAGTACATCGTGTCCGTGAACAAAGGACAGAATAAAGAGAGCGTAACGGAGGGATTTAGGTAAGAATGATCCGACGTCAATGTGAAGCTTCAAGCTAGTAGCCTCTGACGACAGGATACCCTCCCTAGGAGAATCCCCTTTGAACTGATCGTGGCCGGTACGAGTCCGGGATACAAATTCGGTTAGCCCATGGTCGGCCTTGGGGGTCAGCCTAGCATTAGTGATCAATGCCGAGACTTAACCAGTCAAAGACGTATTGTGAGCAAGACGGAGATCCTTCCCTCAGGAATGAGGATGGAAACGGGAAACGCTCCTAGAGCGCGAGCCGTGGCAGAGTGATAGCCCTAAGTTGGGTGTGGTGCGCATGTCTCATGTGCGGCCACACATGAGTCTTGTCAACTCAACCAACCGGGACCACTACTGGCCCGAGAGGATAAATCCTCCGTCGGTGCTGTCTTACGACAAAAGACAGTGCTTAAGTTATAAACACTGGAGAAGGCCGCCAGTCTTGGTAAAGGACTGTCCGGTACAAGAATGGTAGAAGGGGTATAAAGTAATGAACGAGACGCACTGGCTGCGGTAGCTCTGTGTATTTACGGTACCCTTGGTTCACCTGGCGAACTCGAGTCTGTGACTTGGGGAGAGAGCTGAGCCTACCGGATCTGTTGATCTGGGTTCGAAGATGCAATCACCATTCTAACGAATGCGAACGTGCCGCGCGCACATCCACTGTCAGAGAGGCTATACGTTGAAATCCTCGAAAGTAAACTGATTCAGTTCAGACTTCACAGTGGTCCCGCCTAACAGAGCGCCAGGCGGTGGGATAGCATTCAGGGAGGAATACTGCTCGGTAAGGGGGTAGGAAGTAGTGCTTTGTGCTTGCACCTAGCATGAAATGTTTGGAGGTTTTAGTTTCGACGAACTTTCATTCGCCTACTTATCCCTAGAACCGCGTAAAGGTTCCTCCAACTCCAGGGCTTTTCTCAAAGTCAGGGCACCCATACTGGTAGTTAGTACATTTTCGATCGCTCCTGGGGGATGTAGCCGCGGAGCTAAAATTTCTGTCCTTTTACGGCCTGTATCAGCACCTCTTCTCTTTTGCAGTGCGCGCGTTCAAGCTGTCTCACCAGCAACTCCATCATTAACTATAGTAGTCTAAGGATTCTTGGTTTGCTACATGGTAAGTCTTTAAAGTTAATTTATATGCATCGACGTTCAACGTTTGATATATTATTTTATTCCTCTTTTAATGTTCTGTTATTTTTTAGTGTATAAATGCATGCTCGCAATCCATATCGTGACCCTCCTCGGTTTGCCGAACTTGCGAAAGCGTATCCTCCTTTGAGTCCCTAGTGAGTTAAGTTTGATTCGTAACGTGATCGAAGCTTATCTTTAACACTCGGCGTGCACAGTATTATTCGCAATCCGGATGGGACCAGCACCATCGACTTCAAAAATGACAAAGCACAAAGGCTTGTGATCGATCAACACTCATTTAGCTTGGGATGCCAGTTCTGACACAAGGAGTAGATGCCTGACAGAGGCCTTGCTGCATCGCGATTTTGGAATTAAACTAAATCTTCCATCGGACAGATTGTGTCCTCCAGTATGTGCTGTATTTCAGGGGTTGCTCATTGATTTATGCTTCGTGCCAGATACCGAATAGGTGGATTCTGTCCGCTTCGACATTCTTCTGCTCGCCTCTCATTATCTAATTAGACTCAACTATGTTCTCTGGATACAAGATATCATCCGCTCGACTTATGGTCAACACACTAATACCATAAGAGGGATAGACATGTGGGTGTACGTTATGAGGCGCCTTGGTCGTGTCATTCTGATGAACGTCTTGGCTGTATTAGAGGGACTGGTGCATCAGCTATATATCCCCTGCTGGCGTGTACTTTAGAGCCCAGTTGGTGTTTCGCTGCTACAGGTATGCAAGCGCTTTGTAAAACGTGTACAGTTTTGATAACACGTCCTTTCGTTCAGAGATCGATGAAACTTCGTTCAACTATGCGCAGCAGAATGTGACGAATAATGATCTTCAGGACAGGATACACATTATATCTGCGCATTTAAACGCGCCCATATTAACTCCTCTCATAAATTGTTACGACGATGATAATCAGTAAGTTCAGCACACTGTAAACTATGACTTCCCTTACCAATTCCTCAGATATCACTTCACGATGTGCAATCCGCCTTTCTACAATAGCGCTGAGGACGTTGAACGCTCTTTGGCTGCGAAGGAACTTGAGCCACATGCGGTAAGAGTGAACATGTCTTATTTTTAGCGCTGCATACCGAAATAGAGTGATACAAAGGTGTGTACTGGCGCTGATGTAGAGATGATTACGCCAGGAGGGGAAGAAGCTTTTGTTTCACAGATGGTACATGAAAGCATGGAACACAAAACGCGGTGCACGTAAGTATACTCATCGTCATGCTAGGATGAAAATAACAAATATATTTCATGTAGGTGGTATACTTCCATGCTCGGCAAGATGTCATCGTTATCCCACATTGTAGCACTCCTTCGTCAAAACAACGTCAGTGGCATCAACTCTAATCGTTGGCTCCCCTAATCATTTCTTTCGATACTCATACCCACATGACAATAGATTGACAACTATGCAATCACGGAATTTATCCAGGGGCAAACTCGACGGTGGGCGATTGGGTGGTCCTTTGGGTCTAGGCATCTTTCTGATGTGAGTTATATGCTCCTTGCCGCCTGAAAGCATCACGGATGGCTAAATGTTCACGAAAAATTCAGTCTCTAGCCCGCATATCGAACCCCGCATTACAAAATATCATGCCGCACAGAAATACTCTTCACCAGCCGTTCTCTTCTGCGCGCTCCAGGTCTCATCTTACAAACGCGCTACAGAAAGTACTAGCCGACATCGGGGGTGTATCGGTAACACCATATGAAGGTAGTGGCACGAACACTATATGCCCTACGTTACTAGCTCAAGCAAGGAGCAATACATGGTCTCGGGCAGCTCGCCGGAGAAAAATGGCTGTTGATCATTCAACGATGTCAACGTCACAGGACTTTGTTATGCAGTGCCAGATAAATTGCGTTCAGACCTTGACAACTCACGAAACCGAGGGAGTGAGAGAGTTTGAGCTCGAATATGTGTGGACCGAAGGGAAGGAGCGGGCCTTGTACGAAAGCTTTGTTGGGCATGTTAGCAGAAAGATTGGGGCTGCGATGATGGATGAAGGATGAACAGTTTAGTGCTAGGGCTAGGCTCAGTACTCTATTGGATCACAGGACACAAAGGCAAGACTCGTGCCATTATAATTTGCAGTCTAAAAGTTAAACACAACATGTCACTGTGCAGCATTATTGAGTACTATTTGTAGATTCGATGTTACAAAATCTGCGAACTTCTCGGAACAACTGGTGGAGAGAAGGTAGAAAATGCTTCTTAGCCTTCTGATCGGATTACACGATGACGAAATAATATGTAGTGTACAGAGTATGGCGGGGTTTGGAGACAGATCAAATCTGTGGATACTATATAAAGTTCGAATGAGAACCATTGCTTGATATGATTAAGCATATAAGATACCTATCAGAGCTAAAGGAACTTGATGAAATTGCTGTGAATACGGAGACAGTGCAGTCAACTCACGTGCCAATTAGATACATTGTATACTAACATACGCATAGCAGAAAAACGCCTACGCGCATCAGATAGAAGGGCATCACTCCGCCTTTCCCTGTCGACTTCTACGCCTCCTCAGTGGCTGAGGTTCCAGGGGTGAGAGAGGAGAAACCGGCGAGGTTACTTCAGAAGCGTGGTTCTGCCCACTTCCAATAGCTTTGGTGAGCAATGAAACAAGCGTCCGACCAACTACTCCGATAGCTAGACCGCTGATGCAAGCGGCGCCGCAAAAAACATATAGCGGGTAGAAAATGGATAAAGCGCCCGATACCAAGTTGTATGGTGTGAATACTAATGCATCTAGAATGATGTCGAAGAGAATTATCGCTGGGGCGAGAAGCCAAAGCGCAACAGGCAGTAGGATGTGCAGAGGTTGCAGGAATATGCCAGATGAGCTGTATAGAAACTGGGCAAGATACGACAATGCAGAAAAGAGCTTGGAGCCTGTGGTGCGCAAGATAGGTAGAAGTTGCGTTATGGGCGGTGGGGCGCTGGTGGGTGCTGAGGTCGGTGGAGACAAAATGCTGGTTATCGTAGAAGACATTACTGGGTTCTTTATAATATCGTTGGTGGACTACTACGTAGTAGAATGTTTGCCAGGGAATGGCAATTACGTCACGTGTTATGTCGCGTCGCTTAACGCCGTGAGATCTAACACGTTGTGGAGGTGTTGAGTTTGTTGACCCCAACCCAAACCACAACATAAAATGTGAAGTTGACATACCTGTTCCTGTCAAATCGTTATCGCTCTTGTCTTGGCGAAAAAAGTTTGCAACCCTTTTGTTCCTGCGGTAGCTATGATAGTATCCGGCACACGATGGACCACAGGGACACTCCAATAATACGCTGAGCTTATCGTCCATGGCCAGCCAAGGCTGCTAACATAGATAGCTTCGATTGCGCGTAATATCGAAGACATAGACATTCGTTCTGATCAGTCTGAATCTCGCTAGCTTTCGGCGTCGGTCTACGCTTAACACCTTCAAACGTATATCGGTAAAAGTTAAGATATAGGTGGACGCTTCATTTCTAGGTGCGTCTAACAACGCTCCACCCACAGACGCTCAAATTCGGATAAAGTGATATGCCAAGTTCACTCCATTCTGAACGTGTCAAAAATGCCTTCACTTTTGTTACCTCATAATCTACTGGTTGCCTATCTGAGATACACGGACACTATCTCATGACAGATCGAAGCACCAGGAACATTGTGACATGCATGGGATAATTCATCCTTATCGTGTGTTGATATAACATCATTGATACGACATAAGGACATCGAAATCGATTTTGGGGCTCAAGCCTTTCTCTTTGCTTCTCCTTGCACGATGGGATCCGAGTCTGCGAGTGACATTGCCAAAGACGAGAAGCGTCCCCAAGGAGTCTCTGTCACCACCAATGAGGTCGATACAGGTGCTCAGCTCGTGGCTGGTTTATCAACAGTTCTCGAGCCAGAAGAAGCCTTGCGGATCAGGTATGCATTGTTAACTTTGTTTTACAAGAGCAATAACGAAACGAGGTGTATACAGGAAAAAGATTGACATTCATATTCTTCCTTTGATGTGCAGTAAGTCTTTACAGTATCCATCGAAATCCTACTAATATCGCTGTCTTAGCACTTTATTGGTGAGACGGATGATAGGTCCCCATAGCACCGCTGTTTCAACTCGCTGTATAGGATGCAATTCATGGACAAGACCACATTGGGCAGTGCGGCTATTCTAGGCATCGAGTTAGTCACACTTCATTTCCGCCCTTTCTTACTGACTGCGCTTTTCCAGACAAGCTACACATCTGTCTACTAATCAGTAAGTTGTTTTACGAGATGGTCTGTTCTTTAACTCAGCTTTAATTTCCAGGTACAACTGGTGATCTAGCACATTCACTGATATTTTTATATCAAGCTGACAAGTGATGCAGGCTAGGGACTGTTTTCTATCTCAGTTATCTAGTTTTCGAATATCCACAGAATCTTGCGCTTCAGCGCTTCCCAGTTGGCAAGTGGATAAGGTTCGCTCACTTTCTTGGATTCATTGCGTGTACTCACACATATAATACAACAGTTTCAACGTCTTTGTTTGGGGAACCACATTGTGCTGTCATGCAGCATGCACAAGCTTTACTGGGCTTCTCATCGTTCGCTTGCTCCTCGGAGTCTGCGAGGGGTGTATAACAGCTGGATTCATGATTGTCAGCTCCATGTTTTATACAAGGAATGAACAGACCCTGAGAGTAGGATATTGGTGTAAGCTTGCGTCTCTAGTGACTTTAGAAGAAGTCTGGCTAACTAAGTGGCACAGTTCTCATGAATGGAACAGGTCAGTCTTGGTAAAGCGTATTAGTGTCAACTTACTCATACGTGAATTCGGAAAAGCTCAAATCGTTCTGGGCTTCATCAGTTTCGGGACCCTCCATATCACGACAGGTGGATTTGAGCCATGGCAATGGTATGCTTTGTCTGTTTTGTGAAATTCAAATTTTGCGTTAACGCGCCACAGGCTTATGATCATTACTGGCGGTATGACTCTAATCCTTGCAGTAACATTTTGGTACATTTCTTGTCCCATCGCTGTGATTGTGGTCTAGAACTTGCTTTAGGTTCCTTTTCCCAGATTCGCCTACGACTGCTTGGTTCCTCACTATGGAGGAGCGTGCTAAAGCCGTTCAGCGTATCCAGGTGTGTCTGATAGGCAGCTTTTCTATATACTCACAACTGAGCAAAAGGTCAGGAAAACCAAACTGGAGTAGAAAACAAGCACTTTAAGAAAGAACAGTCAGTATATGCTCTCCCGATTGAGATGAGGTATTCTGATCAGCCATTGAACGTAGGATGATTGAAGCGTTGTGTGACCCAAAAACTTGGATCTTTGCACTCTTCTCCGCTCTCGACAACATACCTAACTCGCTGACGAACCAAAGGCAAATTATTGTCTCTTCATTTGGGTTCACAAATCTGCAAACTACGCTCCTTGGATGTGTCGATGGGTTCATCGAGATTGCGACTATTTGGACAGGGGTAATCCTTGCCTCTCGCCGCCCGAACAGTCGAGCATATGTTGGCGCTTTATACTTCATTCCGAATCTCTTGGGTATTCTTTTGGTAAATTTATTACCATGGAGTGACAAAGTGGGGCTTCTGTTCGGGCAGTGGATTACTGGTAAGGAAGGAATTACTTAAGAAAAAGAAAACTTTGAGTGATCCTAATATTTATGCTATCATAGGTGTGGGAACTACTGGTTTTGTGTTGTCCTTGTCATGGTTGGGCAATGTAACAGCTGGTCACACAAAGAAGGTACGGACGATTAGCTTGGCTCTCTAATGCCGTCTCATGATTTCCTTCATTCTATCTATGAAGGTCGTGACTAACGCCATCATGCTTTCTGCATATTGTATTGGAAATGCTGCTGGTCCATTTATGTGGGAGGCCAAGTACAAACCTCGGTTAGCATTCAATCATTCCATATTAGACATGTTATTCTCTCATATCTCGTTCCCAGAAACCATGTGCCATGGATAGTGATCGGAATCTGCTACGTCATTTGCCCACTTCTTCTTCTCTGGATTCGGGTCCTTCTTTCCCGGGAGAATCAAAGGCGTGACGCAGAGCCCGCAGATACGACATATGATGAGGTGTATATCGAGCGCATCACAGAGGATGGGAAAAGGACTGAGGTGAAAGTGGACAAAGTAGGTGCTGTATGGTTCAAATCCCCCTGCCCACTGACATATTGGTTGATAGGAATTCTTGGACCTGACTGATAGACAGAACCGGGACTTCAGATACGTGTTGTAGCGAATGCAGTGACACCTGTAGCTATATTGATGGACACGAACTTGATGACATTTTATGCCGTATTCTCCATGTTCTAACTGTACTACCACCTGTTCTTCATTCACAAACCCTTCCACCAGTGTACTTAGAGAACTGATGCGGGATGTCTCAATGCAAATCGACAGGTAGGCTTCGTACAGTGCGAAAGAGACTGTTTTGGTCTAGACGACTACGGCGAAGTTATATGTAGAGTTCATCACTCTCATGCCATATTTAATATTTATCCTGCCTAGCCGAAGAAGCTAATGGCCTTGGATCCTAACATATGCAAATAAAGGTCACTTCGCCATCAGGAATTCGAAGTCCGACTCCCGACGTTGCATAGGTGCACTTCGTCTTCGGTGTTGAATGCGGGTCGCTAGGGTTGCTGAACTTGCTTTTTAAAACGCCTTTTGAAGTGAGGCATATGTCCAGCATATTTACACCGTTTCTGAGGGCCTTTTCTGGGTATATAAACATGCAAACCAGCCAGGTATGTTTGGGTGCACATATAATATTGCCATCATCGCTACATCATAGTATTTGCTATGGTTCCCATGTGCAATTTGACTGACCCATCCACCGATATCGTCCATAACCAGTGAACATATTCAGCTCAGAAGCGTAGTTTCTAATGCGTGTTTTTGTTCTGGGAATTTTTAGTACATAACCTCTCCTCCTTCCTTCGATATTCCTCACAACCATGGGATATATAACTCATCGACAACACCCGCCCACTTACCTTGGAACACCTATAACTATTGCAATGCTCCGCACGTCAATCCTGAATATTACAGTAAGCCATCCCACGTCGACAGCGGAATTACACTGGTATTTCTCAATGGCATGATGCGACATCATAAGGTGTGTAGCAATGATATATTTCTAGCTTAGGGACTTTGCTTCATCTCCCACTCTCCTCCTTTGGCTACATATTAGCGTACCCCCGATAATCTCTACCCAAACGAGAGAGATTTGGACGCTTCCGTCACATGGGAGTGCAAGCATTTGGCCGCACACAGTTATATAGGTGGTACAGCCCGCATATTTCACGAAACAATTATCCCTGACTGGCATCCTTTTGCTGTCGAAATATGGAATGGGACCTGTGACTCGGGTCAACTCACTCGAGAGGGTTTGGAAGATGCAATTAAGCACGGTAAAGTAAGTTTGTTGGCTAGTGTCCCTTACGCCTGAAACGATTTTGAATGCAGGACTTCTGGTCGGTTTATCATGACAAAAATGTTTTCTTGCAAAATGTAGTGGAGGACGATATCTATATTCGTACTTCCACAGAGGCTAGAACTCAGCATGTTGCAGGTGGATTTCTCTTTGGAATGGATCCTTCAACTGCAGCGAAGTCGTGGCCTGTGTATATGCAGCCAAGAAATGTCAGTATCTATTGTCTATCTCGGAGGCTCCGTTAGTTTCTGATCGTCGTTATAGATTGATGCATTAGTACCTGGTTATTCGTGTCCTACTGCCGATGCTATTCGCAGTGCTTACCAATCAGTACCTGCGTGGTTAGATCACCTCACCCAGCACGTCGATTTGCAGGCCAGACTTGAGGCTACTCTAGGAACAGGTCACCTGAATGCGTGGTCGTCTTGGTGTATGTCTTCACTCGTTCAGTTATGATATCGCATATTTGACACCGCTATCAGATGACCACTATTTTGATACTTTTACTTCAAGGACGTGTCATAGGCACCCGCTGCCTTGTAACTCCTCTGGCAATTGTGTTTCACAAGACGATGCGAGTCGAGTATATTTCTTAGGCGATTGGGAATACAAGTACGGATCTAGTATCTGTTCGCTCTTACCCCAAACGTCTGATGGCCTCTTTAGTTACATTTGGAATACTGCTGAAAATGCGACATTTTACAATCAACTGACTTTTGGTAAGTGGTTATTGCACTTCTCGCTGTACTCGATGGATCGTCTATTTTATTTTCGCGTGTAGGGGTCATGTTTATGGAATTAGCACAAAATCTCAGACGTTTTAGGTCGGGCGAGGATCGGTATAAGTTACGTTTGTACGTAGGTCACGACGGATCCATGATTCGTCTGGCTTCCGGTCTTGGTCTCGGACAGAAGGCTCCTCTTCGTTGGCCAGCAATGGGTTCTGAGATTCTCACGGAGGCAGGTGGTGATCTTGCGATTAAATAGAAGTTAGCTTCACCTCTATCCACAGGTTTGGCGTACATCCACAAATCAGGACTTTGTTCGTGTTTTACATGACGGGACCCCTGTGAAGCATCTAGAATGGGTTTCACTTCAGGACTTCATAGATCTTTTAGAGGCTCAGGTTCCTGAAAACATCTTTGACACCTGTAACTTGGCGGTGTAAGCGAGGTTCTCGTGGGTGTATTTAATCGTAACTTGACTTCGTAAGGCTTGCAGTACATGATGCCTTTATCATCCTTCGTAATACCCGCTGCGTGGACCTGGAGTACGTGGGTGATAAGGTGTCAAAGCCCAGCTAGGGACTCCTACTTCTAGTCTTGGCTCCTCGTCGCCATCTGGTGAGTACCGATTCTCACGCAGTGCGGTGAATGATTGATGGTCGTTCCAGTTAGCATACATTGTGAAAATTTGCAAATAGCAACAATGTGGCCATGTATCTACACCATTGTTATAATCAGTGGGGATGAGCCGGCTTCTCAACGTGTTCTACTATTTAGTGAGAATCGGTAGGACCTCCTCGGTCTCCCCATTTCCAGTGGATCCGATATTTGACGCATTCACACATTTATCAAGTGATTCGTATGATGGATCGATCCTCTATGACAAGTGTTCTGATATGCGTGCATCAAAGTGATGCTCGATGGAGGTTGTGTTTGGGGAAAGAATAAGTCCAAAGGGCACACGTTTCAGGGAGCATGTTTAAATGGAAGAACTTTCCTTGATACAAGGAGCCCAAAGGCCCAGGCTAACAACCGTAAAGCACGACTCGACGGATGATAGGATTAGACTGCCATTGCACTCACTCAGATAAGATGTCAAGGCATTTGATCGCTACAAAGGATGATTTTTATGATGCAAAGCATAATCTCACTTTAAGAAATATGATCGTTAAATCATTATCATTTATCAGAGTGGTGCATTGATTTTCAGGAGTTTGATATATATTGTACACTGATGCGTCCTGCGCTTCAGATTTTTGAGCTAACGCCATGCCAGACCGCATCTTCGCAATCAAGCGACTCCAGCCATTCGGTTGCATGGAACTGAGCTCGGCGGGCAGGCCAAGCTTCCATCTCAGGAGTCCCATCATCCAGCCGTGAAACAGTCCAAAAGTTCCCTCCCACCCGTACCACGCGTACATTAGGAAAGCCGTGCTCGACGACACTGAATACTGTCGGTAACGGAAAGTCCGTCATGGCGACATATTTTAAAAGAGGTGGGACCCCTGGCCGAAGATGCTACACATAGATATCAGTATGCAATGCTGAGGTGAACGAAGTAAAAACCATACGTTCAGAAAGGGAACAGGATCCTCGACAAAGGATGAGATGAAATCCAAAGTCAACGCTCGGACGCTTCGTGGAATAAGCCAAGCTGCAAGGGCTGGTGATAAATCTTTTGGGTAGGTGATGAACAGACTGCGAAGGCCCGTAAGAGATGGAAGAACGCCCCAAGCCGAAGCATCGAAACCAATACGACGATATAGCAAGTCTGATCTTGGGACAACCAGCTCAAACGTCTGTAGTTGTGTCCTGTCGCGCAGAAATTCTGATATGGCAGGGATAAGGTCTCGGTCGGTCACGTGTCGATGTAGCCCCGAGATGTTGATTGCAAAGTGCCTCAAGAAAGGGAGGGAGGAACGGAAGAGCCGGAAAGATGATGACGGCGCACACTCAAAGAGACCGGACAGCGACAGGGATTCAAGCTGATGGCCACTGGACAGTATTTCCGAAAATGGATGTGTATCTGCTGGGAAAACACCATGAAAGTCGATCTGTGTCAGATTGCGAACTGAGATGGCTTCGGTGGGGAACCTCCAATGTAAATTGCTGATTGCAAATGCTCGAAGGGTGTCGCGGCTCTGTGAGAGAAATTCATGAGCAGCTACACAGTTCCCTCCTTCCGTTGTATAAGAAAAATGGGTGATATGTCTGAATTTAGGTATGTCTATGTCTCCAGCCACATCAGTTGCCCTGCAGTCGTTTAGAAAATAGCAATAACAATAGTAATGATTACTCACGTCAAGGATAGCATTCGTAGGCGGGAGCTGGATGAGTGCAAGATTTCAAGTATCTTATTGAGAATCAGCCTGCTCCCAGAACATTTGAAATTTCTGAGATTCATCATCTTGGGCAAGGCGTTGGTCAACATCCCTGGCATAAACGACGTTAGCTATCATCACGACAATGCAGGAGATTGAGATTGCAGCCCACATACCCGTCTCGAACGTCAGCGGATGTGCTCCGTCCCTGGTGGCTGCGAAGATCCTCAATGTTTTCACTAACGATGCAAACGAAGGGTCCACTAGGATGCGAGTTAAAATGTCTGCACTGCGTTGGCAATGCCAATTATCCAGGTCCTTATCAGAACTCCCAGCATGCGACAGACAGACCCGGAGATAACTGTCTTCTCTTGCAAAATCTGAGCTGCTGGTCAAGTACAGATCGATCTCACGGAAAAGGAGTTGACTGGCTATACGGGACAGTGCATGAGGGACCCATAGAAGTGACTTGAGGTCACGCCGAGGCAAACAGAGGGCAATTTCCCGCCATATTTCAGTTGAAAACTTGGGAGTATCACCGGGTTCTCGCAGCTGGCACGAACCATTAGTATTGGGAATCAAATGACTCGATCAAAGGCCCACCATCTCTGAGGTGAGATTTTGAGCTTTGATGAGGGAGCCTACTTCCTGATTTTCTGGCTCGATGACTAGCGTGGCACGCAAATCTATATAATGCATTGAGTTTGGTATTGCTTTCCAAGGTTGATGGGTGATTACCCTGCTGAGCGGAGCTAAGAGAGCCAGCAGCGAGTCTTGCTTTGGCGCGCAAGATCCGTGCCTTAGCTATACATCCAGACGGTAGATTGCGAATTTGTAGACAAGACTGTACAGCGTTCTCAATGACCGTTCTAGAACTTAAAATTTTTCCGAAGCCCCATCAATAAGTCGTACAATACAAACTGAAATCAGATGAACGTACCTTTCAGCTGGTAGATGCTGCAGAGCATAGAGCAGAACTTCGACTTTCTGGCCATCTGAGAGACAAGAAGTTACATCGCGAATACTGGCGTCCACGATCCTGGGGTTGAAGACGCCCATTTTCAATCGTGGTCGTATTTCTGGACCACGGGGATATAGCAAGGGGTCTTGCCGGTTACTAGGCCCTGCGACGGCCAGATTCAGATAATATTGAAGATTGAGTTATTGTTACAGTGATGTGGAGGCCGCGCAAGTTGATGGTGGTTTTCAGTGTGGATTGTACGGAATGAAAAAAATGAGTTGTTGCGTGCGATATTGCGCTTCAACGGAGCTCTGAGCGAGGTTCATGTGTATTTGAGCTGTCGCGATCCAAAGGTTGAATTTCAAAGGTGAGTACCCTTTGGCTCCGTTACAGATCCGTACAGTTCCGTACGTCTCTTAGCCTCTCAGTCACCGATACAGGTCTGGGCCAGACGGCGTTCTTAAGTTACCAAGAGTGTGGGAATCACTGCTTTTGCGACATCCGCGGAGAAGAACGATAAGCTCGTATGATAATAAGTAATAAGGATACGTGACTCAGCTCTATACAACATACAAGTTCTGATACAATACTGCAATGCTAACACGGAATCCAGCTACTCAATAAATAACAGATACACCAAAAAAAGCCAGCTTTGTGAGGCAATGTACCCCTGACCTACACAGCTCGAGGCTGAAAGTTGTTGATATGAGACCACTGGTAATGTGTTTTTCCGTCCTGAGGCGAAAGCTGTGGAAACTTTGACGACCATGCATGTCAGGGTCAGAAATTTGGGGAAATTCGAGTAGAAGCAGCTCACATCATCCTTCGAATCCATAGGAGATTCTGGGATAGTTTGTATTTTTATGCTTTGATCGAATGTTCCTCCCACAGGAGTGGATGGGCTGGCAAACTAGATAACCCTTCAGAAGTGTATCAAGACGACAACTGGTGTTTTTTTCTCACTGAAGTTGAGGCAGAAGGGAGCGACAGGCCCCCGCGATAATTCGATGAACGCAATTTAGACAAACTGATCGAAAGACGGTCCCTCTCGCGGATGTTTTGTCGAGCGTTTAGCCTGTGTCGAATAGCCGTGTAAAGATTTCCACATGTCATAACAATAGAGAACCAGTACTCACATAGCGAGGAAAGAATTGATGTATACTGTAAACAGAAGGTCAGCTGTGGGATGACTTCCTAGGCACATAACCACCGACATTTTGTTAAAGAAAATTCAATGGCTAAAAATATCAAGTTGGTGGGCATCAACGCGTACTATGTATATATGGCCAGCCACTCGTCAGCATCGCATTAGAAAAAAAGAACTCCTATTGGGGAGGCTACTTACGGCAATAAGCGCCGACATTGAGCATGCGCTGGAATATGTTTTCATTGCCTGTAACCTGGTGCACTTTCTGGAAGGTAGACCTACCTAGTGACCAGACCCGAGCTTAGTGTATATTGCATGAGTCTGTTAATTATATTTTCGGAGCTGTTGCAAATATCAATGGCAGTCCAGTGCAATGAAGATAACTATGAACCTACCCTGTGAACCCTGATTTACTTTTGTGGAGATAGTAGCACATGACTGCAGCAATAACGAAGTCGACGCCCGTCGACGTTGCAAAAGAGGCATAGATCGCCCACTAACAGCCAGAGCTTGATTAGACTGGTCAAGCGACGATTGAGGGCATATCTTACAGATATTGTGTCAAGCTCAGCCCATGTTGTCATCCGAAAGCTAGGATTACATTGATCAAGCTCAGTTGATGGATGTAACAGAGTATGATCAACTTACGTTTCAATCACTAGAACTACATACGTAGGACATGCATCAGTAAGATCTGATTGTTTCGAGGAGAAAAAATGGCGTACGGATGCCAACAACTGTCGAGCGGTGTTCAAGTATGAGTTATGAACTAGGGTCACTTCGAGACAAGACTCACCATAACCAGCGACTACCACAAAGGTCTAAAGTATTTCGTTAATGTAGCACATGGTGACAGTATTTGATGGCACGCACCACAAGGCAAGGTAGCAACGTATGCCGATGCCCTCTTCCGACTAAGGTATAATTTGAGCATGATACTTGACTTTGTTGTCGAAATTGACTTACGTTTCCATATTCGCATCGCATATAGACTAGTTAATTGGGAGAAAATGAGAACTCGATTGGTGAAAGCGACAAAAAAGAAAAATGACCTTTGGACAAAAAGGATTATTACGATCTTCCATTACACCCCATCAATCAATATGCACGTGATATCACGTAAATCGGTACTCACATTGACCGCGATTTGAAGCTAGTACGAAGGGGGAAAATTAGTATCAGCTCTCTTTGTGTGCGCTAACGGTTAAGTACCTTGAATGACCTGCAAGAAAGTTTGGTTCATGGATAAACATACGGGAGATACATTCGCACTTACCACACAATGACAAGGAGAGCAAGAACATTTCCAAATCCATTGATAAGATACTGATAGACAGCATCCACAGTCAGCGCGAGGTGAACAGCGTCCAACGCCCTTTAACCATGATAAGCACAAATATCGCATGAAACGAATGTCAACTGACCATAGAATGCCAATCTATGTCGGATCCATTGAATTAATAACGCGCCAATTGTGTAGAATTCGGCACTCACAGATATTTTGTGGATGTACCAATCCTTAGGATAACGACAGTAATAGATGTAGGTCTGTAAATTGGTTATGCCGAAAAGACTGGAAGAAATAAGTACCACAAAACACATGTACAAAATGAAGTCGACGAACATGGAAGAAAAGATGACGCCAATGAAGACGGCACCCAAGTTGTCAGCGAGCGACTGGGACATCTCGTATATGAAAGTCTGGGGAAGAGAGCAAATCGACAGTATACCCACCAGAAAGCATATGAACGCGACGATGAGAAGTATTTAAAGCATCCATGGCAGTGTTGACCGATAAAAATTAAGTGCCCTCGGTACCAGAAATTTGTCCATTTGTCCCTACTCATGCGTGTGATGCTGAACTCAATTTCGACGAGTGGTTCACCCGGATGATGAAGGCACCCGAGATGATCTGGAAAAAAAGGCTCGGCTGATATCTGTGCTGTCCCGGGGTTTGCTAAGTTACTTAGATGGCGATAACTGGAATAGGAAGTGGAAAGAATACGCACGCTCAGCCTCATCATCAGAAGGCCCGCAGTCGGAAATGTCCGTCCTGCATGACAGTTTTCTGGTACAGGTTCTGGGCGTATTTACGCACCCTGTTTTGTTTGCCAAAATCGGCGATTCCCCTTGCCTATCGCGTGCCAGCGGTACCGTTTGAGTTTGTCCGTCCACTATCTGCCCTGGCATGTTCGCAACACCCTTTGCAGCAAAAGATTATATTTATGTTACCGGGCCTGAGTTTGACAAGATTACTGCATGCGTGATGTATATCAAGATCGAGACTGGATGAAGTCTGGCCAATACACTTTGAAGCTGGACACCGAGCTTCGCGCACTCATGCCAGTGAAAATGACCTATTATAATTCGTATCAATTCAGCATTTTTTTTTGTTGTTTTGAAATGGATACTCACATTCCTGAACGTTTAACCCCTGTACCCCAACTCTGGGTGTATTTTTGAGGGTCCTGGGTGTGCGCCAGTGCGTCGAGCGGGCGGAGACGCAATCCGGACCCACCCGGCCCCTCACATCACGTGGCCCAAAGCTGCGATTGCATCTTTTGCTCTTCATCGAGCGTCGGGAAGACTTGTCTCGGCTTTTGGTATCAAATAGGCAAAGCCGCTGTACCTGGCACAAGCTTGTCCTGATCTCTTATCGCTATATCCCCCTTGGACAATTGGCTTTCTGATACTCTCGGAGAATCTTTCTCACTTTTTCCAACATACCGACAGCTTGGCTCGTGGAACAACTTTTTCCGTACCCCACACGGCGCGGCGTTCTCCTTTGCCATAGATTCTTAGGGCCCGTTCGGCACCCACCGTTTTGAAACGTCGCCCGCCCCAAAAAGTCTCGTTTCGTTTCAAAACGGTACCCTTTCGAAACGGGCCCGTTTCGGAACGAGCTGATGTGTTCGGCGACACAGTTCGTTTTGAAAAGAGCTTGTCACACTACTGAGTACTGATAAGATAAGATAGGCCTTTGATGCCATCATGTGACCGTGTGATGAAAAGCGTTACGCTTGGAGGCAAACAAAGTTGCTATCTCTTCTCGCTTGATATGAATTATTTAGGATTTTTTGTTTGAGAGAAAAGCTGAACCTCAGTAAATACAAATACAATACTGTAAGAAGAACTAAGGAAAATGGTGCCATGTAAGACGAGATAGATTTTTTGTGGCAAAGATGCAAGTTGGTGATTTGCCTCGTCGCGCCAGTGGTCACAAGCCAAGTCATGTCATGTGATGGCGTCGGTTGTGGATGACACCTATCTTACTTAATCCACAATCCTGAAATGCGTGTAACATAGTGTGACATAGCGTGAGAAATATTCTTTGCGCTGAGAGTTGTTCCAAACGAGCGCGTTTGCAAACGGTTCTCGTTTTGAAACGGAGGCTGCTGAACGGGCCCTTAGCTCCAGTCCCTCACGTCTCCCCATGCCTGAAATATCCATCAGGAAGCGGCCTCACTCAGAGGCGGTCGTTACCCAGCGCAAATTCTTCAAAAAGACAGCAAGAGGCAAGGTAATCAAAGGTATGTGGCAACAAGCATGTGTGGTCGTGGGCTTATACAGACAACAAGTCATACGGGAAAGATACTTGCGAGATGATATAGCGTGTGGAATTGTCAAGTGTAAGGCGTGCTCACCATTGACGGATCCTGTTCTCGCTCCTTCTGGAGATCCCTACCATGCATTGTTTCCAAATGGCCATTATGTCCTACCGGACACAAATGTCTTTCTGGCTCAGGTATGTGTTTTATCTTCTATCGCAAGCTTAGAAATACAGCCAAGTCCTGAGAGAATATACGGGTCTTGGAACAGTCCAGTTTATGCTTGTGATTCCATAATCCGTAAATCTCATAAACATGTCGTATAGATGGATCTCATGGAATCGAATTTGTTCACACCTCCAATCATTCTCCTTCAAACTGTTCTTGAGGAAGTTCGACACCGCTCTTTACCTCTCTACAACCGTCTAAAGGCACTCACAAAGACCGAAGGCAAGAATGTCTGGATATTTTACAATGAATATAGCTCGTCAGTGCATGCAATCTTGAATGGGTATGTTTGAACAAAATTTCTGATTGACTCCATAGACAAACCGCGATTATTCGCGAGGAGGACGAAAGCCCAAACGATAGAAACGACAGAGGTATCTCAGCTTATCCATTTTTTAAAATCGTGCTTTTAGACAAGCTTTTCAGGAATCCGGAAGGCCACGGCATGGTATAACGAACATCTCTCCTTATCCAACCCACCGATACGCGGAAGGCCGAATCCAAAACTTCCAACAATAGTCCTCATGACAGACGACTTTGCGAATCGGCAAAAAGCTGAGCAAGAGAACATTCCTTGTATATCAGGTTTGTATTTCGTTTTACGTTCATATCAGTTCGGTTAGAGACGATTTCACTTTCTACCAGTTCGAAAATATGTAGAAGGGGCAAATGAGTCTAGCCAGCTTTCGGATCTCCTATCCGCTGCTGGTTTAGATGACATCGAACCTACAAAGGCTGCCGTTCGCAGTGCCATTTATCCTGATGTAAGTGCTGGATGTATCGTTTCTCATCAACAAGCTCACTTTTGAATAGTATATTCCCACTGCTACATTGGTAGCTGGTGTAAAAGCTGGCGAACTTCATCAGGGTCCTTTCAACGCCAATCAGTACAATTATTTGGAGGTTCGTATAATCCAGCTTCTTAGATGCAGTGCCCGTGAATATCGACTGCTTTATAGGGAACGGTACCAGTACCCGCCTTCTCAAAGCCTGTGTTATTAGTAGGCAGGGAAAATATGAACCGTGCCGTGCAGGGCGATGTTGTTGTGGTCGAAGTCTTCGATAAAAAAGAATGGAAAGCGCCAGCGGATGAGGTGGTAGATCAAGAAGGTGTGTGTGTGATTGTTAATACCCTGAGACCAATCATACTGAATACCTATATTAGCAACCCTTCGTAATGATGATGCTGAGGATTCTGGCGAAGAAGGCGAAGACAAGGAAACTCTGGTCCGTGAACGTGAATCTAAAGCCGTTCGATCAGAAATCAGCAAAAGACCTACCGAGAAGCAACCAACTGGGCGGGTCGTCGGGGTTATTAAGCGCAACTGGAGAGCGTGCGTGCTTATCATTTTTCAATGCTTCTATTTGAAGCCTGACCCTTTTATAGTTATGTTTGTCATATTGACAGCACATCACTCACATCCACCAATGCCACATCTCTCTCACAGCAGACTGTCTTCGCTACTCCCGTTTCTCGTCTTCTTCCTCGGATCCGCCTGAGAACTCGCCAAGCCCCTTCCCTGATTGGCCAAAAGATTCTTGTGACCATAGACAGATGGGAGAGCACATCGCGATATCCGGAAGGCCACTTTGTTCGTGCTCTTGGTAAAGCTGAGAGCAAGGAAGCAGAGCAAGAAAGTTTGCTGTTGGAATTCGAGGTGCCGTATAGGCCTTTCGGGAAAGCTATCCTTGATTGCCTACCTTCAGAAGGAGAACAATGGGTCGTTCCTCCAAAGAGTGATCGTAGTCCAGAGTGGAGAGACAGAGAGGATCTTCGTGGTTTAATCATATGTAGCATTGACCCCCCAGGTGTGGCTATTTCTGATGATGAAATGCACTCACTCATACTGTGTCATCTACAGGATGTCAAGATATTGATGATGCCTTGCATGCAAGACGTCTTTCTAACGGTAACATCGAAGCTGGCGTCCGTAAGTCACTCGAATCCGAGGTCAACTTATATTCATGACACTTTACTGCAGATATCGCTGATGTCTCGCATTTTGTCCATTCTGACACCCCAATGGACAGCGAGGCTGCATCCAGAGGAACTACTGTCTACCTTGTGGACAAGCGCATCGACATGTTGCCTGCTCTCTTAGGTACAAACTTGTGTTCTTTGAGGCCATATGTCGAGCGGCTGGCATTTTCCGCAATCTGGGTAAGTATGACCTGCTACTGTCACGTACAGGCTTCTAATGACGCTTTGCAGGAAATGACCCCTGAAGCAGAGATAGTCAACGTACGATTCACAAAGTCTGTGATCGCCTCTAAAGCTGCCTTCACATATGAAGAAGCGCAAATTCGCAAAGATGATCCGTAAGTCTACGAATTGATTATTACTACTCAACTAATGTTGTATGGTCATCCCAGTCATCTACAAGATGAACTCACCCAAAGTATTCGCCTGTTGAATTCTCTCGCGCAAAAGCTGAAAGCCGGAAGAATGGCCGCTGGCGCGCTCAATCTCGCATCTCCTGAAGTCAAAATCCATCTGGATAGCTCAGAGTCATCCGATCCTATTGATGTCGAGCAGAAAGAGATGCGAGAAACAAATAGCCTTGTCGAAGAGTTCATGCTTCTTGCCAATGTTAGCGTGGCAAAGAAAATCCAAGACACTTTCCCTCAAACTGCCGTCCTCAGGTAAGCGCTTATGTGTTCTATATATTTTCTTGACTCAGCTCCATTTTGCAGGCGGCATCTGCCACCTCCCCGGACAAACTTTGAAAAACTACAAGATATCCTACAGAAGCGAAAAGGACTGACGCTAGATGTCTCAAGCTCAGGTGCTCTCGCAGCATCCTTAGATAAATGCATCGTAAGCTACATCTAAGGTTCTGTGCTGTTGTCTTGTGTCTGATATTAACACTCCCCAAGGATGCCAAGGAACCCGCTTTCAATACGCTTGTGCGTATAATGGCCACTCGATGCATGTTATCTGCAGAGTACTTCAGCTCTGGCAGTGTATCGCGCGACACCTTTGGACACTACGGTCTTGCCAGTCCCATTTACACCCATTTTACTAGTCCTATTCGGCGATATGCAGGTTAGTCTATTCCGCGAACGTTTATCGACCTAACATATTAAGCGAAGTGAACTAGACGTCCTCGCACATCGTCAACTGTCAGCTGCAATCGGCTTTTGGCCTCTGCATGCTACGCTACATTCAAAGGCGCATGTTGAACGCGTACTTGATGTTGTGAATCGTCGTCACCGGATGGCGCAGATGGCAGGTCGTGCCAGTGTTGAGTTTTACGTTGGGTTGGCTCTCAAAGGGCGCGGAGAGAAGGGGACGGGCGAAGTTCGGGAAGAAGCATTCGTCATCCGAACATTCAGAAACGGCTTGGGTGTTTTCGTATCAAAGTGCGTTGATCGCTATTAATCTTATGTGGGGCACCGAATTGACCTGGATTTGCTCCAGACTGGGCATCGAGGGACTTGTCATGTTTAAACGTGACACACAATTCGACGCTGAAAATTATACGATCACAGTGCCATCCACCACTGGAGGCAAAGATGTAACCATCTCTGTTTTCGACAAGGTTACAGTCGATATAGAGGTAGAGAAAGATAAAAACACGCAACGAGGTCGTGTAAAAATGACTCTCGTGAGTCCTATAAATTCTCAGATGCTATAGTATTAGTAGGATTGTTGTAACGTAGTAGTCTGTGCAAATCCATGACCTTGACATCGATCTGCACAGTTCCAACATTCATGTGGTTTGAAGGTGTGCTGAGCGGTGATTTACTACCCCTATTTCCAACGGTATGTCACGTGTGAAGTTTGCGGAAGATGCCGCTTCCACTATACAGTTGCTAGATGCCGAATTCCGGCACAGAACTTACTATCACAGAGGGTATTCACCGATTGCCACATTATCCAGCTCCTCAAGACCAAAGACTAATCGATAAAAATGGCCACGCAACGCGGTGCGTAGTTCAGGACATCGAATCTATGCTTCATGTTTCTTATTGGGTTTCATCTGCTGGACGTTGTTCGTTGATACAGGTGGTGGAGCTTCCGGTAACAAATTCCGTATGACCCTGGGTCTCCCAGTGGGAGCTGTTCTCAACTGTGCGGACAACAGCGGTGCCAAATCTCTTTACATCATCGAACCGTACGGATTCGGTGCACGCTTGAACAGACTGCCAGATGCTGGTGTTGGTGACATGGTTGTTGCATCCGTAAAGAAGGGAAAGCCGGAACTGCGAAAAAAGAGTATGTTGAAACCGCTTCTTTTCCACTTGACCTCCTTTGCAAATCAGGCGATTATGCGCGAATCGGGAGACTGGTTTCGCGCGACTGCTTGGAGCAGGAGGAATTCCGCCAACATCTTATAGGAGGATTATTTTGCTGATCGTGATTTTGCCTCCCATTTACAGCCATGCCTGCTGTTGTCGTTCGTCAACGTAAATCCTGGCGTCGGCGAGATGGTGTCTTCCTCTACTTCGAGGCAAGTTTTCCCATATATCATAACTTCCACGCCGCAGTCCTCATCGTTTTATCTACTTCCAGGACAACGCCGGTGTCATCGTCAACCCCAAGGGTGAAATGAAGGGTTCTGCTATCACCGGACCCGTAGCAAAAGAATGTGTACGTGTCTCATGGCTCGATTTGACAAAATTCGAAAATGCTGATATTTTTGATTGCTTAGGCGGATTTGTGGCCTCGTATTGCTTCGAATGCCGGCACTGTTGTATGATGTGGTCACATTTATCTCTTCTCTTCATACATTTTATGTTCATTAGTGCCATGCTATGATTATGACCACAAATGCACGACTGAGCATTCCACGTCACTCTGTTGATAATAAGCGTAGAAGATCAGAACACTAAGGTAACCTAACGGTTAGGCCCACTTTGAGGTATCACGAACTTGAAATGCAGGAGACAATGGCTTTACAGGACTTCTAAAAAGAGCCTCTGGAAAGAAAAAACGTCTCAGGGAGCTTTCAGAACGCTCGCCTGGACCTCAGATATTGAGCTGACGATGTGGTGTCGAACGGTAGGGAGATGTTTAATCGTGAATGAAAGCGTACTCGAAGGTTCATGGCCCCTATCAAAGGGTAGGCAGTTGACTGTTAGTAGGACTCACAATCAGGCCCATGATACAAGTGCTGTGGTGTCAGGCGAGATTGTGATGTGAATACGAATAGTTGAAGAGTGCAACAATACTTGCAGATCGCTACTTCATTCCACTGAATGTGCTGTGTGTCAACTGCATGGCACAGTAATGCAAGAAGCGATCAAGGCAAAACCCGGGAACGCTATAAACCCCATTTTGCAGTGAATTTGCACTGTGCTTAGGCTATTGGATTGGATGCCTACTAGTATGTAATTTTCGTGTCGTGGTGAGAGCTGTGGACAGCTAAATCGAGATATAAGATAGCACATTGTACATCAATCAGTTGCAAATGACCAAACATTGAGAGAAGCATCCATCACAACTGGGTGTGGTCGACGTTTCATCTTCCTCGCAATGTGCCCTTGATCATCCGATTCCGATTCTGAGTTTGATGTATCACCTGAAGCATTAAAAGCATCGCCTGTGTCATCGTGTTCAAAGTGCCTTGAGCCAGATGCTGAAAGAAGCACCGATTGTAGAGGATGGAAAGCCACAGACCCAACAGCATCTGCGGATGCAATGAAAATGGTGATACAATGTGACTACATTAGGCTTACCTTTGTGGGCCTCGTACGTCAGGCTGGGCTCAACTTCCTGAACAGATTCCTCATATACTGTATCAGCTTCTGTTTCGATATCTAAGTCAAATAACGACACGTTCCCATCCTACGGTGAAGATGACTCAGAATACAGCTTGCGATAAAAATTTGATAGACGCACCTGACCACCGACGCCTAGACGTCGACCGGCCAGATCGACGTCGAAACGTATTTTTTGATTTGTTAATCCGCTTTTGTTTGAACTGGAAGGGTTGAATAGTCTGAGAGGCGTAGATGTGTTTCCGCGAAGGTCCCAAGCATAGATAGAAGACTGTCTGCGGAAAGCAGCGTACAGCATATGTGGTTTTGTTGGATTAAACATGAGCTAGATAACCAAAAATCAGTTCTCTCGACCTCACGCACGAGGTAGAAAGCAGACCTGAGTAACACTCGCTCGAATGTCTGCGCCAACATACATAACTGGCTCGTTGCTCGCCTCGCTGAATAACGCAATATTTTCTGCGAAAGAAGATGATGGAGAGAGGCTACCAGCTGCATAAGTATCATAAGACGACGAGAATGCAATACTGCTTATAATGCCTATGGTGGTCCATGAGTGAAAGTAACATATCGTGTAGATATATATATATATCGGTGCTCTTACCTTTCAAGCCCTCTTTTGTTTTCTTTGAGGGTGTTGTAGGTAGTCGCGTACCTTCACCGGGTCGATGAACATCGAATATTTCGATAGCATCTTCAAAACCGCAGTACAGCCTAGTTAATAAAACGGATAAGGATAAGGATACGTCAGGAAGTTGACCACCAAATATTGACAGACTTCTGCGCAGTAAGATTGAAAGCTAAACTGTGCGGAGCAATTTGCCGCTCCCTGTGATCTACAATTCTGTAAGACGCTCTCAACTGCACGACATGTGATTCGATGAATAAAATCGATAAAATATGGCTCAGATAGACGTCGACGTACTCGCCCATCGGATGCATCCAGAAGCTTCACGGGGCACTCCCGAACAGAAGCGACAAAGCAATACGAGGCGAGATCTCTTGATGATGCGCTGGGGTACCATACAAAGTCAAGGATAGGAGAAGATTGGTGAAGGGTACGAGAGTAGTTGAGAGACGCAGAGGAAGTCGCTAAAGCTTGAATTTAGCGTGAATATTTATAGGTCTCTCAAATGCTCACTTGAAGGTGATTCTGTTGATCTTAAAAAGAGTTTGATTCGTACAACGCAGGTCCACAAATTTACAGAATTACTCACAAATCAAAGAATTGGAATGATCGATTCTCGCATTGGGAAAGAACATTCGCCCCATCTGGAGACCTAGACGGTGTTATTCTTGATATAACGCATGATATAACGACTCTCAACTGGGGAGTGACGAACTGGTCGAAAGATAATTACCATTTTGCCGTGCGAATGAAGTTCTCTGGGAAATCGGGGTCGGGGTCGAGTCGAGCGGTGCTGACGAGGTTTGGTGGACGAGATACGTCGTACTGAGGAGGGACCCACGAATATTCGCCGAGGTCGTTGCTCATACCAGTCACGGTAATTTCATTAGTTTTGGATTTCTAACTTGAATTAGCGGCTCGGCAAGGCTCCCGGTTACCGACAACACCTGCATCGCTTGCTTCAAAAAATGTGTTCATCGATTTCAATGGCATATTATCGACGTGGGCTTTGGATTACCACCCAATAACCTTGCTATTGTCTTCGGGAGGGACTTCACTGTAAAAATATAGTATCTCACCAAATCTCTAAACGAGCCGAGAAACCTCGCAACATAGTGCTGTAGTATATTAATGTGCGTAGCACCTTGTTGTCCTTATTGGTGCATCTGCTTCCAATGTCCTACCTAAAATGTGCTCTGATACCATCTTTTGATGCAGTTTTAACGTGGATTTTGCGTTTGAGCGGAACCTAAATTACCACGAGCGTACACTTTTTTCGAGAACGTGTGGTTTCTTTTGGGGAACGGAGAAGCGGTTCAAGTGATCCTAGTAAGTTCGTTCGTATCCTAGAAGTACGTACCCTCTGCTGCGTTGTGCGGCGCCCATATCACTCATATAATTAATATCAATACCCCTCAACTACACAGCACCACCGGATTGTTCCAAGCACGTTACGTGATGTCTAACAAGATTACCGATCAGAATGTGCTTTCGACTGCCAGACGTTTTGCAAGGACAGCAATTATTATTCAGTGTATCTCGGACGTTTCCAGAAAGGTCTGATGTCTCTATGATCGGCGAAGTGTATCTCGTTGACTAGGACACCCTTGTCTGTTCATCCAGTTCAACGATCAAGGGTTTGTGATGTTTGATGAGTATCCAGGATCTCATCAGTTCGTTGTTCATGCTCTAGCCCTTTTAAGTTAACCAGGTTGCTGTCCCACGATTTTCGGACTCTACTAGCGTTCCATCAACCTTTTCAAATGCGCCTTGAATGTGAATGTGCCGTTGCCATCTTTTCTAGGCAGACAATGTCCTACTTATCCTTATGCCTTAAGAACAATCCGATCAAGGTCTCCTCGCGTTATTCAACTATTGTCCCAAGGCCGCCTAGCCTAGCGCCCATATGCGCCGCTGCGGTAGTTCCATAACCACTTGGTTGTCTTTCGAGTCCTCAGACTGCAAAATCAAAGGCGGTGTTGGAATCGACCCCCTAGATAGTATCCATAGAACTAGCTTGATAATACAGCAGAGAGTGCGTTATTTCCTTTAACGTGGCCTAGGCATTTTAATGTGCCAAACCAAGGGGTACATTGTATGGAACCTCTAGGTACGCTTTTCTTCTGTCACATGTCCATTGTGCTGATAAGCTCCTGTCCCCGTCCCCGTTCCTGCCCTCCTCCTCCTCCTTCCTCTTTTATCTCCCACTGTTCTACTTTTCTTTTTCTGAGTTTAGATCCGACCCGTTCATTACTTCTAATAATTTCCATGAGGCCAGATTCCTATACTTTTTTGCCGAAACTACTCCAGATTTAATAGAATGGGAAGGGTGAATTGTGGTGAGTATCATTACAATGATCCTAGTACACGTAAAGTGATTTATTTAGAGCTGCCTACTAATCAAATTACGGCGGCAGGAGATATCGTTTGTTGGTTTGGATTAGCTTAACTGCGGATTGTTCGAGGTAAGGCACCTATCCTCGCAGGGCCAGGTAACGTCTTTCCAGTGTTTCGATGCAAAGAATGTCCTTTTTGTTGACCTTTTCACCGATCAGCGCTCACTTCAAATTGTTATATCTTCTTAACCGCACCAGTCAATTGTTTATACTCTAGGTTTGGCTATTTGCACAGAGCGCTGTCCCACGAGTCTAGGTCTGATTTCAACATACGCTTCGATACCATTATCTTTCTACCAAGGTTCACACAATATTTCACTGAGTCGCAGGGCTTGTAACGAGTCAGGCCTCTTCATATCCCGTAAACTTGATCGCTTCGGACGCTCATAACACACCCTTTCCGTGTACAATCTTGACACCGCCCCGGTGTTATTGTCTTTCCGATACTGTTGCAATAGGGAGCAGGTCCTAAGGATTCTCATACCATGATGTGTGTTGGTCTTCCTCATCGCTCCTATCCCCATTTCAGCTAGTTAAAAACGGAATATCAAAAGGCTTAAATAGCAGCTATTGAAGTCTCCTGCTATCCACAGCACCACAAAATTCTTCCCTGTAACCGCCTCATTCTTTTCAAACAATGTCTATGCCTGTTCTCAGTCGTCCTTCCGCTCCAAGTATCAGAACCACTAGTTCCTACAGCGTCGAACCGTTGCGCATTGACGTGACGGGTAGCGCAGGCCTAGAGGGTTATGCAAAGAAACGTCGCGAGCTGCTTGAAATTCTCAATAGTTTTCATGGCTCAGGGTCAGAATCCCGTCATATTTGCTACTTTTCAACCTGAACTAATTTACTGGTTTTGTGTATGTAGTATTCAAACTGAGGGTGACCTCCCAAGAGTTGTAGCTCTTGGCTCTCAAAGCGTTGGGAAGAGTACTCTTCTCTGGCTTATGAGTGGCGTAAGCTATATTTTATTTTAATTGATGCCACCTTTCAACGAGTGATCGTAATCTTAGATTATGCTACCGAGGAATGCGGGCACTTGTACTAGGTAGAGGATTCATAACACTTTCATCGATTATTGAATGTTCTTACACTCATCTGCAGGTGCCCTACGGAATGTCGCCTACAAAACTCCCCCACTTGGTCTTGTCAAGTTAGCATTCGACTTCATAAAGACGCCGAGGGTAACGACCTCCCCGAACCGAGAGAAGTGCTCTTTGGTGACCTGTTGACGGACATCAGTCAAGTCGAGCCCGTTTTACGTCGTGCGCAAGCTGCTATACTCAACCCTAACGTCGACTATCGTCAATTCGTTAACGATTCTTACATGAATCATGCGCCTAGTAATGGCAGATCCTTGACGTTCTCCGAGGACTGCGTATGCATTCACCTCAAAGGGCCCGATGTGCCAGACCTTTACTTCTACGACCTCCCAGGTTAGCCTCACCCCTCGCTTGATCTGATGTGCTGTGTTTGACATCTTGTCTTCCCGAAGGAGTAATCGCAAACGTACCGGATGGTACAGATGTGGCAGATATATCCTTCGTTGAACGTTTGGCTCAGAAATACATCGCAAAGGAAAATTGTATCATTTTGTTGGTTGTATCTTGCGAAAGTGTGTAATATTTTTTTTCGTATGCCGGTGAATATTTGAGAGAAATATATGTATGCAGCCGACTACTTGAATCAAGGTGCTGCTCGTCTCATCCGCAATGATCCAGCACTGAGACAAAGGACTGTTGGTATGAGTGGACATAAACACTGTCCCTAATACCCCGCTGATATCATATGTTTAAGGTGTCCTTACGAAGGTCGATAAACTCGATGAACCCGGCGATGATATGATTTCCACTGCATCTCACGATGAAGTAATGCAAGGATGGGTTGATTTATTGAAGAACAAAATAATGCCGTTGAAAAATGGATGGTTTGCGGTCAGGCAACCATCTCAGCAGGAAATTAGGAGAGCCAGTTCTAGAGGAGGTATCTCCAGGGCTGAGGCTCTTCAAGCCGAGCGCAGGTTTTTCGCCTCCCAAGGTCCTTGGAATTCGCTCAGTCCTCGATACCAACAACGCTTGGGATCTTCACAGTTATCTGAGAACCTCAGTACCATTTTGTCGAACTTAGTAGAACAGCAGTAAGTCAAACAGTGGACCATCCATTCTATGGTTTCCGTTTGCTTAAAATATTTCCACAGACTTCCTACGATTCAACTAGGCATTTCGCGCTCTCTCCACGAGGTGAAACATGAACTCCGTCAAATGCCTCATCGGCACACTGAAGACCACCGGGGAGAAGTGATCAAAATCCTATGCGACTTCGCAAAGAAAATCTCTGATCATATTGAAGGCGTTCCTCCCAGCTATGACCAAACGCAAGCTAGCCTTATGTTCGCAATCAATTCCACGTTTGAAGAATTCAAATTAGATGTACATCGTACTGTTCCACGGTTCCGGCCTTGGAAAGTCATATCTACTGGGCAATTGCCTAACGAAACTCTCGATCATATGATCCAGACGGCTTCTGCAGACGATCCGGCCGATGGCAGGGGCACTATAATGCATGTTGATCAGGTTATGGATCTCGCTCGACGGTGATTATCATATATAATTATTTTGTCACTCTGAGCGCTCACATCTTTTTAGTTCTCGAACTCGAGAGTTGCCGGGTATTTACCCATACTCTGTCCGGGAAACCCTGATAAAAGAGTTCACGAGCAACTGGGAAAAACTCATGAATGATTGTTTCGAGACTGTCGAGGACATCCTCAATACGCATGTCAATATGATACTCCGCGATCATTTCGCATACTATACTCACGGAGGTCTGTTGGACCAAGTCAAGTTAGTATCATTCATGTGAACTTCAGTTTTTTATACTTATTGTCACGGTTACTACAGTTCCATCATACAACAGCAAACCTTCAAGTGTGTAGTAGCTGCTAAAAAACGGCTAGACGCTCAATACGACATGGAACGAGAGCATTACACCCAAAACGAGGCATTCTACTTTGATTGTCGTGATAAATTCGTCACTCGTTATAGGTCTTTGTTCCGCGAATCGCTTCAGCAGAACACGGTCTTTGACAAGTTACTCGAGTGTTCGAAGATGGGGGAAAGTCTTATGCTGCAAACTCCCTTCGGTGCCAAGGTTCATGCGGTTCTCGCAGGGCTGGAAGAGCTAGGAATCACAAGCCGCCAGCCCACCGAGCTTGGGAAATTACTCCCTAATGATAATTTGGATCCAGCACTAGAGATTATGGCTGAAGTGCGAGCATATTTCCAAGGTATGACGCTGTGTTTATTGGCATATCCCATAAACTGAGATTAGTGCGATCACAGTCGCCTATAAGCGGTTCGCCGACGTTGTTCCACAGATCATCGACGACAAATTCGTTCGTGCATTTGGATCGTCGCTTGAAGTCGCTTTGCATCTCATGGACGTTAGCTCGGAGGCGTGCATAAAATTCCTGGAAGAGGCTCCTGAAATCAGGCGACGTCGCCACGACCTGACGCAAAAAAAGACACGCTTAGAAGAAGCAAAGGATAGGTTGGAGAAACTTTTCGTTTCAGCTGATTCAGTCGGCTATCCCGTTTCACCATCGCTTTCTTCATTCAATGATGTCAGCAGCAGTGACTTTGCCTCGCCAACATTGACAGAAGCGCCATTACCCTTGTAAAAAAATAAAGTCTAGATGTAGCCGTCAATGCCCAGGCATGATGTTTTTGATCTCTAGCTCAAACTATCTCCCTTTTCAATCTGATTGTTTCTTCCCACCGTGCTACCTCAGGCCTCAGGCTCGGACTGTATCCTGTCGTTATCGATCACCGATCACATCGCAAACCGATTTTCCCAGTATCTCGTAATCGAGCTCATAATACAAGAATACTGATCTTGCAGTATGCAATGGTTTATGTCGGTTAGCATGTAGGATAGTTCTTGAACAATGTCCATGTTATATATCCAAGCTAGTCATGTTACAAACAAGAAACAAGAGTAGCGTGAAGCAGTAAAATTCTAAAAACCTGAGAGCATAAATTAGTTGTAAATTGGCCAAACTCCAAAGTCCATTCAGTAGCAATTAACAACGTAAAATTAGAGGAATGACAGGAAAAATTCTCTAGCTTCTCATTTCACCAAATCGTCAACGTTCCTCCAAGGATGGCAGCTGCCAGAGTGATGCCCATGCCCATGAGCTGAGGTGACCAGCCTTTAAGGCTGGCCCAGCCAGGCGCTGCGCCCCCGTTTGAAGGCCCCAGAGTGCTAAGAAACTCTTGCACAGGATTCGGTGCACCCGAAACGGTCACCGTAGGTGCGGAAGCGTATGGACTCGGCTGAGAAGCAGAAGAATTGGAGGCCACAACTGAGAATCGAGAGGAAACGGCATAAGTGATACCGGCCGTTGAATTGAGGCATATCACAAAATAGTCGTCTCCTACTGGGACGTCCTGCAGTAGAATGTTAAGAACGTTAGGCTTTGCAGGCACTGCCCACGCACACAGAGTTAGTAAGTCGTTAATAATAAACAAAAAGGTGACAGAGTAACTGACCATTCCTGGCCACGTAGTACAACCCGTCTTCACTGAGACGTGTAATCTCGACGTCGAAAGAGTTGACTCCATCCAGCAGTCCCTTTGTCCACATGACGGGGTATGGAGATCCATTTTTCCAAGACGAAGATGCGCCAGGCTGGTTGATTATGAAGTCTGATACAATACAAAGAGATCATAGGGTGGTTAGCATCAATAAAGAATGACCAAAGCTAGTGGCCAGTCTCGCTTCCAAGTTCTTACATGATGACATTGCCGCCGTTTGCGCTTTAGTTGTCAGGCATGAAATAAGTAACACGAGTAATGCGACGGCAATTCGTGACCAGGAAGAATGCATGATAGAGGTTTTGAGGCTACTCTACTGGTAGGAGAGAAAATTATCAACTTGACGCCCGTTTAGAAGGGCTCGAGGCCCGATGTGAGAGGACGAAGCCAGTGCACGTAACATGAGGCTAAGCAAGATTGCCGTTGTGCCGGATGCTCTTTCCTATCTCATCTAAGCGCTCAAAAAGGCGCTTGATAGTTTCTAAAGACATAATATCACTGCAATGAGTGCGAGGTTAGAAAATGATGACCTGAACCAACCCAACTATCTCATTATCGATGCAAAAAATATGATTCCTTTTCGATCCTACAATCTCAAGATATTTGTAACCGACCTCCGCTCATTTATTTTCTCCTGCAATGGTTTCCCTAGCGTAACACCCCTTATCTTCTCCCACCCAGCGCAGTTGAACTGTTCGCATTCTCTGCTCAGCAACCCGTTCCTATCAATCTGCAGCACATTCCTCGTGTTGAAACACGATGGCCACCCCAAACGGCGAGTTAAACACAGTTGTCTGCACTAACGGGAACCTTTTTTGGGCAGTAACCATCCCCATCCTCTAAGATTGTACCATTAGGCTGATAAGGGTATCATCAGCCCAACAATAATCGGACATGAATCGAATAAAACAATATACCTTATAGGAACAATATGTCTGGCTACCACTATCATTTTCAGCTGCATAGCTATTTGTACGTCCTTCATTAGACTATCCTTGTAGTCCAGTGAGATTCTGGTACTCACAAGCAGCTAATGGGCTCTTCAGGGGTAGCCTTTTCGCCACCGAGGACAAGATTATAAGTAACGTTGTCAATTTTCAGAGTTTTAGGGCACGCTGGGCACTCCGTCTCCGTCGTACTGGCCGCTGCAGCGAAGCCAAGGGAAGCCAGGATAGCAAGGACGATTGTGAAACGCATCGTCAAAGGTTGATTTGCGTTTGGAGGGGGGGGATACAACAATGTCACTTTTAAGAGAAGTTGATGGATGGCTACAATATTTATACCTTTGAAATCGCTTGAGTCAATGTGCTAACATACCAATGGGCCCGAACAAGGTGTCTCCCGAGGAAAGAATGATATGTTATTCGGTTTCAAGCATGTCATTCGTGCGGCCGAATACTAGTGCATCCATCATGTCATGGACCATCATTTTTTCAGCGCGACTCGACTCAGATGCGCTCGCAGGTAATTTTGTGTGATAGTCTTTCATTGCTAACAAGAGTTGAAGTAGAAAAGACAAATTCCAGCTGGAAACAAAATTACATACCGAATATCATCCAAAACAAAGACACTTCCAGAACGAGTTACAACTCTGCTAAACTCAGTTCACAGCGATTATGATAAAAAGTGAAAAGTAGTCATGATGATACAGCGAATTTCCATATCTGAATGTTTAGCAAACAAACTCACAACAAACTCGCAACAAAACTTTCGCTGAGCTTGAAAACGGACAACTGCCAGTGGCAGTTGTCCGTTTTCAATCGCAATTACCGCAAGTCCATCTCACTTCTCAACACGAAGTGTTGTTGTAAGTATCATGGCTTAGGAGCGTGTAATCTTGTGGACGGGACTCACGATTCCGTGTCGCTACTATGTTTATGCAATTAATTTAATTCTCATAAGTTTATCGCCCGGACAGAAATATGGCACACTTTGTTGGGGGGACAGCTTGAATTTAACTTGGCAAAATACATATTGAAATTAGTTTCTGCGACATCAGGAACTTTGATTGAAAACGACGCTAATTGGTAGCATCTAGAACGACGTGGTTCGCCCACAATCGTAACTTCCTTGTGGGATATGAATGAAGCTGTTTGCAAAATACTTAATGTGATAATATCTGATAAATATATATATATATCTCTACAAGATGAAAGGCTTACAAGCATACCAAAATAGCCCGAAACACTTCAAGCTCCAAGTCCCATGGAGCTATAATCATCGCCACGAATCAAAGTGCATCTCCCCGGTACTTGGCTTGTTTGAGGACACATCATCCGGAATGTATCATGGCAGCTATCCAGTAATGAAATAATAGAGATTAGAATACAACACTTCTGGAGAAACATGGACGCATGTCATGATCATGATGATCATATTTTGGCATGGTCTTCGTCCAAAGTAAGACTCGAATGCGCAATGAATCCGGCGTCACTGCAATAAGAGATACTTGTTTTTGTACCAAGATGCGCCCTCGATTTCTTTTTATATTCGATGTCCCTTTCGCGTTGTCTTTTGATGTATAGCTTGAAATCTGGGAATGCGTAGGTGTAGATGAACTCTTGTGATTGTGCCACGATGGTTGTAAATATAGGGTGGGTCGAAAGTGGAAACTAATAACAACACACTTTCGGGAATCACCGGTTCTCATCTCCTGTTACCTTCGTCGACCCAGAGTTTGACAACTTACAACAACAACATTCGCATCCCACAGAGCTGAAACCTGCACATATGTCTGGTTCGGAGTACCCGCAACTGAATTTCGGAACTGGGGCGAAATGGATAAAAAATCTGACAAGGGATAGGCTGAACAACTTCAGTGGAGGGCATTTCTCTGATGTGAACTTATCCTCTGTCCTGTTCACTCATCGTTTGGACGCACCTGAATACGTCAAATTACAAGTATGGAGTGCCCCTGGTCTCACGAAGCCCTTCTTTGAAGAGGCAACAAAGCAAAAATTCAAGCCAGCCAAGAAAGGGGACTCGTTTGGACCATCTTGTCAGTAACATATTCCAATTCAATATCTCTGGGGAGATTTACAATCAATTTTCATAGGGGTATGCCCCCTGCGCTATTTCTACACATATATATCTGAGATTATGTAGACTAATCACTGGTGGAAAGTATCAGTAAACATTCCCGCAGACTGGCAACAATATGAGCGCGTACAATGTAAGTCAAAGTGTAATTCCATACCACCCACGAACGCTGAAGATATTCCACAGTTGAGTTTGATCCTGGCTGTGAGGCGATGATCTATTCTACCGAGGGTGTTCCATTGCAAGGTAAGTATAGAGGATCGTTCCTATTTCCTTGTCCTTCATGGCTATACACCAGGTATTACCGGTGGCTATGGGGGAGATAGAAGAGTCGAATATATCATTCCCCTCGACGCCCGGCAGCAAGGGCATCATGAATTTATTATTGAGTCCAGTTGCAATGGCATGTTTGGTGTACCATGGAATGGTGACACTATCGCACCTCCCGATGTTAGTCTGTTCGTGTGTTGTATAGATGTTCGATACTCATCATCTTTGTAGATGAACAGATATTTCCAACTGGCATCCGCCGATCTAGTCGTCCCTAATCAGGAGGCCTGTGAGTTGTCTCGTATGCCGAATATCTGGCGAGGACTCATAAATAAGTGTCACAGGGCGCTTGCTCTGGGATTTTACAACCTTGCGGGAAATAATCGATACATTGCCGGGGAACTCCCCATTGCAGAACAAGGCTCTCGTTACTGCTAATGAAATCATGAATATTTTCCGCAGAGGTAATTCCACTGATATTGCAAATGCACGCAAGCTCGCAGAGAATGTTTTTGGTGAAGGATGGGAGGCTAAAGGTGCTGAGATTTATGCCGAAGGTCCAGAAAGGGCACAAATTGTGTCAATTTCCTACTGTCATATTGTGAGTTTTTCCTACTCAGATAGTACTACCAGGAACTGAACATATCCGTAGGATACAGCATGGTTAGCTACATCAATAAGGTCTCCCTGAAGGTAGCTGAATTGCCAAATAGGTTGTGGCCGTATTCAGTTACCCAGCAGAAGACCGCTAGATCGTGGTCGACTCAAATAGATCTCATGGAGCGATATCCCGAACACAGATTTGCATGCAGTCAAGCGCAACAATTCAAGTGGCTTGAGCAGGTATGGCTTTCATTTTCATTTTACTTTCCCTTATTGAAACATCCGTGACAATAGCAATATCCTCCTCTCTTCGAGCGTGTACGTGAAAAAGTTAAGTCTGGTCAGTTCCATCTCATTGGAGGGGCCTGGGTCGAAAACGATGGAAACATGCCGTCGGGCGAGGCCCTAGTGCGACAGTTTTTGTATGGGCAGAAGTATTTCGAATCAAGGTTTGGAAAGCGCTGCGAGACAGCGTGGCTACCGGACTCTTTTGGTCTCACCGCCGCATACCCCCAGCTCATCCGGGATGCTGGGATGAAGTACTTCTTCACTCAAAAGTTATCATGGTGAGTGTGATTAATCACGGCTCTTACAATACGTAGCTGAATATTTTATTCCAAGGAACAACATGTGTGTATATGTTGTTATTTCATGTGTCTCGTCAGAGCTAATCTCGGCGCCGAGCTCAGAAACGTGTTCCCTCACTCCACGTTTAATTGGGTTGGTATCGATGGATCGCAAGTGCTCTGTCACATGACACCAGTTGGTATGACAAGTTCTTTCCCAGTCCTGGCGTTTATTTGATGAGTATGTTTTATGTGACAGATACATACACTGCGCAAGCAAGTGTAGGTGATGTTAACAAGGGCGTTACAAATCACAAGGTTTATTCTGCTGATTTTGTACTGTGTGGGTGATGCTGAGTGTGATTTAGAACCTGGAGTCAAACGATACTGCTCTCCTGGTATTCGGGAATGGTGATGGAGGAGGAGGAGCACTACCGAAGATGCTGGAGAATGTAGGTATTATCAACTCTTGTTGTGCGTTGGATCTCAAGTTTCATCATCGCTCGTTCTTGTAATAGCTCCGTCGCATTCGTGCTGCTACCAACGGCCACAGAGATCTCCCTTCAGTAAACATGGGGCATTCTGTAGAAGAATTTTTTGAGAACATAGACAAAGATTCACAGCAAGGAAAGAGGTTACCAAATTGGTCGGTTTCACTCCACTTCCATGTAACTAGAAGCTCATTGATATATTCACGTTAGGCGTGGAGAGCTATATCTTGAAGTAATTTTAGTTTCATCTGTAATTTGGTGCTATACTGATATCATGTCGTAGTTCCACAGAGGCACATATACCTCTCATGGTAAGTATGCATGCATGCACTTTATGTGACCCTTTTACACCCTGTTTTTGTAGGTTCGATAAAGAAAGGCAATCGTAAATCGGAGATCCTGCTCCGTGACCTTGAGGTTCGTTGACTTCTGCGCTAGGTGTCCTCTTTTCTGAGTTTCTTCCAGCGCGTTGCCACCTTCGCTACTTTGTTTAAAGCGAAAGATTCTACCTACGTTTATCCCAAGAAAACCATTGATGACAGCTGGGAGAAGGTTTTATTGAATCAATGTGAGTGCTATGTAAGGTCCAATTCTAGCTCTGACATTAGATAATCTTGACTTGTCAATCATCAGTCCACGATGGTGAGTAGTGTACCTTCAGATATATACCTGCATAGGACTGAAAAATATTGCAGTCCTTCCTGGATCTGCTATGTAAGTGCTTGACAGATCGTCTACGGTGATCTCAAATCTCATCTACGGTTCAGTGGGATGGTTTATGATGATGCCGAGAAGCTTTATGGTGAAGTGCGCAAGGCATGCGATTCAGCCCTCGAAGAAGCATTCCAAGCACTCTTTGCAAAGTCTATTCCTGTCTTAGGTGACAGGTCTATCAAAGCCCTCTCGCAGCCCAGTGACCTCATCGCGATCAATACAACCTCTTTCTCTCGACGTGATGTCGTCAAAATCCCTCTCCAAGGTTCTGGATCCGCTTTGAAATCGTTGAAGTCGAAGATTGTGCAGGTCTCCACGGATGGTGCGTTTGGATATGCGTTGATGAATTGCTCAGAAGGAGACAATGTTGCCACTGCCACCGGATTATTCGCGGATTCCTTGCCTGTATCCGGTAAGTCTCTCATTTGGCGCACCACACCTGTTCATTTATACAGGGGGGTTGGTAGTGTTCACCAATGGATCGGACCACTTCGTCTTGAGGAATGCCAGCGTGCAACTAACGATCTCAGACGGAAGAATTACCAGCCTCGTCGACGTCAAGCTGGGGTATGTTCCCAGTTTGATTGAATACACACACCATCTAATCTTAATAACATTTGCAGGCGCGAACTTATTCCCAAGGGCTCTACAGGTGGTCTAGTCATCTTCGAGGATCGCCCGAACTACTGGGACGCGTGGGGTAAATCTCCTGGCCGATCCTATCACTACTTGAATTAATCCTTTTTTCTTTTGAAAGATGTTGAAATCCATCACCTTGAGACCCCTAATCTTTTGAAATTTTCCAAGGTTGAAGTTGTCGCTGAAGGTCCTCTTCGTGCGGCTGTCAAGACTCAAGTCAAATATGGCCAGAGCACCATTGATGTGACTGTGAGTTGAGTTATATTCATAATTTGATCGTCCTCCCATACATATCCGCAGATATCCTTGGATGCCATCACTGGTAAGCCTCCTCAGAATATCTCAATTAAGAATAAGTTAAACGTTTTGCATAGCTTCGCATCACGAGCACTCTCGATCATTCTTTACCTTCGATGCAGTCGTGGATTGGCACGAAAGGCATGAGTTCTTGAAGTGTCCGTAACAAAAAATTCACCCCCCGCTCACATGTACTGACAGAACATGTAGTCGAACTCCCGTTGAACATCAACAGCGCAGACGCGACTTACGAGACGCAGTTCGGACATCTTCAGCGCCCTACCCACAAGAATACGACCCTAGATGCTGCAAAATTCGAAGTTTGTGGGCACAAAGTAAGCTTATTTATGTTCCAGAAGAATTGATAATGTCTTAAAATGCTTCGGTGTTATAGTACGCTGATTTGAGCGAATATGGATATGGCGTCGCCTTCTTGTCCGAGTCTAAATATGGGTTCGCCTGTCATGGGAATGTGCTTCGTATCTCCCTTCTCAGAGGTGCTACAGCCCCCGATGCAGAACAAGATCAGGGTAGGTTTTCTGTGTGAACAAACTATACAGCACTCCACTGAAACCTTCCACAGGGAAGCATGAATTCTCGTGGGCGGTGATGCCCCACAAAGGTCACTTCTTGGAGTCGGATGTTCCCATGGCCGCGTTCTTGTTCAATTCACCCCTACATGGTTTGTCATCATTTCTATCACCTTTCTTGTAGAACTTAATTTCCTGGGTTCTATCATTAGTGAGGCTTGTTCCTTCAGTGCAGCAGGCAGATAAGGTGTCTGTTGTGAAGCAACCTTTCCATTTGGATGGTGGATCAAACATTTTCCTCGAGACCATTAAGCGCGGTGAAGATGATTTTGCACCGAACGGATCCAACACTACTATCATCTTGCGACTGTATGAAGCATTTGGTGGTCACGGCCAAGTTAAACTGAAGATAGCAAGCCATGTTCCCATTTTGAAGGCTTATGTGACAAACCTGCTGGAGGATGACAAAGCTGAATTACGCCTCTTCGAGACTGCGGATCGCGACCGACCGCGACAGCTCAAGCTCGACTTCCGGGGCTTTGAAGTCAAGACCGTGAAGTTAGTGCTGGGATCTAATAGAATTGCTGAGGCTACGAAATCGAGGTAAAAACCTCCAAAGTAAGCGATAGTGCACAACGCTGACGTCGCTTATAAGATCTTCGCAGAGAGACAGTTGGGTGACTGTTGATGACGATCTTTAGGCTGCTAGCAAGATGCGTTGGACGCGTGTTTCTACTACGATTGTACGATTATTCTGTATGTTGGAACTGGACATTGCTGTTGTATGTTGGTTTGTGTCGTGCCTTGCGCTGTAGGATCTCGAGGTATATTTGATTGAATGACACTGTTGTACTGCATTAGTATGCACCTTGATCTTGTACTCGGGAGCCCCATAATCTTAGGCATGTGCCAATGGCAGCGTGGCATCATCGAAGCTCTCATCTTATCTCTAGCAAAAGGGGCGTACTCGCTATCGTAACCTTAGCCCAAGGTCTGTCGCGGTCATTCATCACCGTTTGTAGTATTTTTACTGACTCGTTTATCCAATACTCGCAGATTGAAGCAAATACGGCATGACTCCTGCCATTGGCCCCATTCATTAAGGTGGCATATTCAAATTGTTCTTTGGGATTGGTTATACAGGTATCGATATCGATCCTGCGGGAGACTTGCACACGTCCGCAGAAATATTCGCTATGGTTTCGGATACTCTTCCTGGGAGTAGTGGCGCTGCTGTTAAATGTGTTGCGGATTCTTGCAGTTGTCAGCAAACCAATTGCGTGCACTTCAGTCCCACTCATTATTCACCCGAGTCGGAGTGCCCAGGCGCTTCTTTGTAATACTTGGGTATAAACAAGGGTATTAATTATAATTCTAACAGAACCAGGCCCCTCTACGCTATTGGTATGATACATTTTAGACATCATGCCAGTGTCTAATCAAGGATTCACTCCTCTTGATGAGATACCCGAGGTGACTCTCCGCATTTTTATCCCTGCTTTATGCTCCATTCATGCATGTTTTTACCAGGTAAGGAATGCTTTTCAAGCCAGCTTCAATTTCAAGTATGGAAACCTGTGACACGACCTTTGATATGGAGGATTCAGCTGTAATCAACCGATGTATGTGGCGCGAGAGAATACTGATTCCTTGGTGGATGTTATTTAGAAAAACCTCTGTAAGCCAAGAGTCGACTCGGAAGTAATGATGAGCAAAGTGGGCGCAATGTCGACCGCTCTTGGCAGCTGGAGCAATAGGCCAAACACGATGACCCCGACGTCCAGGACTATCAGAAACTGTGGATTCCTGTGTATGTTATTTCCTGTAAAGACGGTGCCTTTCATTCTCTTTGTCACAGGGTACACAGAGCATTGAAGTGTATAGCTCCTCATCATAGTGCGAGGGATCGGAAGACGATCTGATGTACAGTAACCGACTGACACATCGACCTCTTAGTCCACAGAACTATCTGACATTTCTATCCTAACAGCCTTTCGTTGGAGCCATTGCAGCTGGCTGTGCCTCAAGTCCTTCGAGACACCTTACACCATCACATTAGAGCTCAGCGAAAGGTCACCTGTTGTTATTGATCCGCAGTACGACATCAATCTCGCAGTCAGACCAATTCTCTGGGACAAATGTCAACATGCTGGACAGGTAAAATTCCAGATATGGTTTATGACGACAGGTGGCTGAGTTTATGGTACCTTGTAGATCTGTGTAGTCCCGGACCAGTGCTTTGATCTTTCGCAGTCAACAAGATGGGCTTATAACTGCCCTCGAAGATCGCCTCGGCGCCTTTTTTGATTGTGAGGGGCTTTGACTTCATCTCACTATGGGCGGATTGTTTCTACACTTCGTCGGGATCGACTCAAGTGAGTATCGATGACTGGTGGTGATATCTTTATCGGAAGCTAAATAGGTGATCAAAAAAGGGTCGAGCACACGGTTGTACGAGACGTTCAGGGGAGGTGGTTCCTTATCTGGAGAGTGAGTTTTGTCTAAGTACTAATACTATAAAGCGATCGTCCCATTTACTGACTCACAACATAGTGACGTTTCAACTCATCTCCCCCTTTGTTAATACTAGTCATCTCGACGACGCTATCTACTTTGTAGAACACCAGGTAGGTGTGACTGTTTCTAAACCGCATCCAACGCTAAGATACGTTCGCCAAGGCAGACCCTATCCTTTGGGAAAATATGTCTTTACTGACAGTGAGGAATACAAAGAAACGTGCAAGTGTTGATCACCGCCGTCCAAACAGCGGAGATGACTCGAAACTGTGCCATCGTTCTTCGCGGCATTCGAAGGGGTGACTATAACCTAAGCCGGGATATCTTCGGTCGGTTCCCTTCCAACTTGCAACAGATAGGCATGTTCTATTTCGATACAGTGGATGAATTTCCCTGATGGCGTCGCCGGGGAATTTGGACGCAAGGTACGTTTTAAAGATCGGCTCCAACGTATTGATAGCATGACGCTTAGTGTCAGACGGGAATCAAGTCATGGAATTTGCCAATGCGAACTTGAGCTGTTTGCGTGGATCTATGGATATGCGTCAAGAGTAAGGTTTGATCGTGCAAGCTTTAAAGATTGATTAATACGTATTTTGTATATTCGAGCAGAGCAGAGCCGTTTGTAGTGATGCGATATATTGTTTACTGATATCGACTGTGGTATAAGTGATTTGACAGTGGAGACTAGCGATATATCCCTTGTGCAAAGAAGAAGGTACCGAAATCATCAAGACATATCACCATCACCATCGGTTGACAAGGTCCGTACCACATTCCCCAGGTTTCCCCCAGGCTTTCCCCCAGGAATCCTGATGCCGTTTATGTCGGCGTTGTCTTCATTTCTACCTATCGGCTGGTTATATCACATCGTGCATCATGTGCACTCGTTTACGGTCCGAGCCACTACGGCTTAGGGGTATGGAGTCGATGACGGTTTGTTCCTGGATATGGGGTACAAGATAAGCAAACTTGACAACGCTGTTACTGCCGGTGTCAGGCAGTGTCAGCTGCTTTAGTCGTCCGTGCGTTGTGGTGACCTAATTTGCTGTGAATGTTATTTTGCATCCTGAGAAAACAGCTTGATGATCACTCTTTCAGTCATGGTGATTAATCTTTACTTAAGAGCTAGTTATAGACGACCCTACAAACGAACTAACATGGAAGCCATAGCCAAGGCCAAGAGGATGGCCATGCAACGCATTCTGACCCCATGCGGCGTTAGTAGTGACCAGGGTCCGTGGTTTGCCGGTCCCATAAGCTGCTGATCGATATTCAAAGCCAGCGATGTTTCAAATTTATCTCCGTTTTTGCACCGTGACGAGGTTTCGACTCAGCAAACAATGGCAAAAAGCTACAATGTTACACTAATAGATGCGGTTTCATTCGCTGAGGCTATCGAGGTTTGGACGCATGTGAGCACGTCAATTGCACGCTTCTGCTGAGCATCGATGACGGTCAAATGCATGGTTGCCGTCTTCCAAGAATGGTACCGATACCTGTCAACAACGACAGACTGGAAATCTATTCGATGACGTCCATCTGCGACTGCATTTGATAGTACGTGAGATGTTCTATTGGGCCGGGCCTGGCCGGGCTAAGTGCCGAAATTGATATGAGCGTGTCAAGATGGAAGGTGCGACGTCGACACTGCATTTGGCCGGTTCAGGCCCAGCGCGGAGGTCGGATGGAGGTGGGGAATCTGGGGTTCGATATATTAGGCGCTGTCATACCGGAAACATCAATGGGATCATTCAAATTCAAACACCGACGGAAAAGGGGGAAAAGATGCCCCACTTGTATTGACGGCATGTGGGCATGATTCAAATAGTGTTGGCAGTGCGGCGGGACGCCTTGCAATATATAATCAACAGATGGCATGAAGTACTCGTAGCGCGCCTTTTCCCAGGTTTCAGATGTCCTCCTCCAACGAAGAGAAAGTCGCCCATGACACGGTTGCTCATGCCGAGCATACCCACCACCTCGATCCAAAAAGCAATCTAGTAGCGTAGGTTATATTCCTTCGATCGACGGATTATCTCTCATGAATCGTCCAGGAGTGCCAGTGCTAAACTTGCAAACCCTTTGCGTGGCATCCCCTACAATCAATTAATGACGGATGTCGAAATTTTTGCGCAAGAGAGAGGTCTCGAAGACATCGTTGATGAACTTAAAAAAGGGGCTCTTGTCGCCCAAGACCCAACTGGTACGGTTTCCACCATGTTATTGCTACTTAAACTGATTTTCCCCCAATCAGCTTTGGATCATCATGATGCGTTTACCGAGGAGGATAAACGGGTGCTACGCATGGAGGTGACCCATAAGTGGACACAGACAAAATCATTATACTATGTGAGTATCTAGCGAAGTGTGGAAAACCAGTTGCTCATCGCCTTATAGATGGTATTCATGAGTTCTATGGCGGCGGCTGTCCAGGGAATGGACGAGGCCGTCATTAACGGTGCTCAGATCATCTATCCAGCGCAGTTTGGTATTGGCGATCCGAATAGCAGTACGTTTCTCGTGCGCTGGTTTCAAATTTGACTGTCTCACATGGTCGCAGAGCGTGATTCTTGGCTAGTTGGTCTTATCAACTCTGCTCCATACCTGTGAGTTTGTTTGCAAGGTATTTGTGAGAAAGAAATTTGACACAAAATTTAGCTGTTGTGCTGTCATTGGCTGTTGGCTCACCGACCCTCTGAATCGGTGGTTGGGACGGAAAAAGACCATTTTTATCACTTGTATGATCAGGTTCGTCTCATGTATTGGTTAGAAAATTCAATCGTTAACACGCCAGCTCCTTAGTTTCCTTACATGTATCTGGAGTGCCTTCACCAACACATGGTGGCATCTCTTCATCGCTCGCTTCTTCTTAGGATTTGGTATTGGGTACGCCTAGTCCAATCTGTGGGTCATCTCATACTAATGATGTTCTAGACCAAAATCCGCCACCGTTCCCGTTTATGCCGCTGAATGTTCCCCAGCCGCCATCCGAGGCGCACTTGTCATGATGTGGCAAATGTGGACTGCGTTTGGTATTATGTTTGGTGATCTCCTCGATGTAGCATTTTACTTCGTTCCCAACAAACACAACGCAACTGGACTCAACTGGAGATTGATGTTGGGTTCTGCGGGTATCCCTGGTCTCATTGTTTGCTCGCAAGTTATGTTCGCCCCCGAGTCCCCTCGATGGCTTATTTCCAAAGGTCGATACCATGATGCATACAAGGAACTTTGTCGACTTCGGCTCGGAACGGTGCAGGCCGCCAGAGATCTGTACTATATCCATGTTCTCCTTGAGGCCGAGAATGAGATGAAGAGAGGCAGGAACAGAGTTGTTGAGATGTTTACGATTCCAAGGAACAGGAATGCGGCTCTGGCAAGTTGGATTGTCATGTTTGGGCAGCAATTCTGCGGTGTCAACGTCATTGGTGAGTTTTCCAAGACGAGACTGCCTACAGTTATTAACCAATTTTGATCTAGCGTACTATTCGTCGAATGTATTTGTTTCCTCCGGGTTTACCCAGGCCTCTGCGCTTTTAGCTTCCTTCGGATTTGGTTTAATTAACTGGGTCTTCGCGTTCCCCGCCGTGTTCACAGTATGTGATCTCATTGATCAGACTTTCACCGTGTATATTTAACATTAACCTTTAGATTGACACGTTTGGACGTCGTAACCTCCTGTTGTTCACATTCCCTTGTATGGCCGCCTGTCTTCTGATCACAGGTTTCTCTTTCTGGAGTACTTCCGATACGCACAAACTAGCTGGTGTATCACTGGGCATATGTGAGTTTCCTGAGCTGTTTAGCTCAATATACCGTTAACCTGAATATATATTAGACCTCTTCGGTGTATTCTACTCCCCAGGAGAAGGACCCGTGCCCTTCACCTACTCTGCAGAGGCCTTCCCCTTGTATATTCGTGATATTGGTGATTTCTTAAAATTGACTTGCGTGTACTTCTGCGTATTAACGGTGCCGCTTGATCAGGGATGTCATTCGCGACGGCAACTACTTGGTTCTTCAACTTCCTCTTGTCGATAACGTGGCCCTCGCTGGTTCTGGCTTTCAAGCCTCAAGGTGCCTTTGGTTTCTATGCCGCATGGTGCTGGTGAGTGCCACCACATTCGAGATGTTTTCGTTTTCTGACTAGTCGAGCAGTGTTCTATGGTTGCTCATCTTACTCTTCGTTCGTGAGACGAAGGGAAGAACACTTGAAGAGTTGGACCAAGTCTTTTCTATCCCCGCCCATGTGCATGCTGCGTATGGACTCAGACAGATTCCATATGGCATCAAGAAATGGGTATTCCGGCAAAACGTTGAGCCTGAGAACCTTTACACTTTCGAAAGCGAAGATTCAAGTGTGGTTGACGAGAAGGGACAAAGAGAGTTGAGAGAGGATTATGAAAAGGCGAGCTAATAGCCTTGGCCTTTGATTCTTCTATTATCACCGATTTTGCTCTCTCCCGTTGCTGCCACGAGTCTTTGACGGGTACATATATCATAATTTAGCGTCTCTCTTTCTCTTTCAAACTGTTTGTAGTGTAGCTGCTCTAATGTTGGCTCGTATTCATGCATTTAATCTAGCCTTTCTTTTTCTTTTTCTCTTTCAAATTGTTTGTAGTGTAGCTGCTCTAGTGTTGGCTCGTATACATGCATTTTATCTGTTGATACTGTTTCCAGTATGTGCTGCATAATAAATATATTGACTCGCAATGGCAGCTTTCTTGGTTAGAGTATGCTTTTTGAGATTTTGGATAACAGGCTCGACGGTGGGGCATAACAACCTTGGAAGGTTTTTGAGTTATCAAAGCAGGTGGTTCGTTTCTTTTTTGTGGTCTTCTGTCCCTCAACTTCTGATCTCACAAATCTTCTGATATTCGCTTGAAATTTTCAGTGCGACAAGATCAAAGTTCTAAGATGGAACCAGACTGTACGCGTTTCCAATGCGAAACAAGTGAGTCAACGAGTACATATGTTATCTAGACTCTCCCGAAGCCTAGTCTCCCCTGGGCATACCATTTAGGAGGAAGACATATCAATGACCCGAAGCCCCATGCCACATTCCGGATTTCATCGGACCGGTTCAGTTCACTGGCAACTACCGCTGGGCACGATCAGCGGGCACCCCATGCAGAACCTCCACACCATCCTTTACTCCTATAGCAAAGAACTCGATGGTGACCGGTAAAAAGACCACATGGGCAAGACAAACCCAGACCTTGACAAAAAGATCATCACCATCGAGAACTTGAAATAGAAGGGGCAGCGGGCAGATCAGACTTGTTATGGTAAGTACATCGTACCCGTGCGTTTGGAAGAACGGTTTAGCAGAGTAGGCACCGGGACGCGGGGAGCCTAGTATTGATTATGGCGTTTCAGAAAGAGTTGATGCGTGCTTGCTTTCAGTCTGTCATCCTCAGGAAAAGTCGGAGGACAGCAAGTTGCTGTTCCGTCATAAGATATTCACCTCTGAGGCCGGCCCGGATTGGGAATGCACTCGTCCATAGTCTGGGGCCGCACTTCGAGCGTCGGAGGGGATCACGAGGAGCAGAAGCTACCCGACCGGACAACGTAAACAATATCAGGGGCAGACCTTGCTGTACTGCTGTGGTGTATATATTCCGCAAGGCAAATAATTTCAAGAAAAACTATTGTGTTCTCCCTACTAGCACAAGCGCTGCCATCCAAGACGAACTGCTGCGATGGCACCACTGGAAGGGAAACGACTGTACTATACTATCAATTTAGTAGCAGGCTTGGCGATTTTCTTGTAAGTGAAACCTTTCTTGTTCGTGTCTGATCTATAATTGTGTATGCTGTAGCTTCGGATATGATCAAGGGATGATGGGTGGTGTTAATACATCACCAGACTATGTAAAGACTATGGGGCTAGGATATTCTACGTTCGTGCTTTCTTAATGTGTATTGAATAATGCTGATCGTTTTGTTAACAGATATGAAGGCCCTTCACAAGGATATGTCGTCACGATCACCAATCCCACTCGTCAAGGGGGTATAGTGAGCAGTACGTCCGCATTTTCTTTGCTATCTCGCTATACTAAGCCTACATTCAGTCTATTACTTCGGGACTCTGATTGGCTGCTTAATGGGAGGTGTTATCGGAGACAGGTATGGTGCCGTATTATAAAAGTTGGTATAGCGGGTCGATGACACAAAACTAGATTGGGCAGAATCAAAACAATGGCTATAGTACGTTCGTACACGTATATTCGAGTTTATTTTCTAATACCGAGGAAAGGGAAGCATCTGGGTCCTCATTGGCGCGGCATTACAGTGCTCCTCACAGAATCTGGCTTGGTATGACTTCTTGTTTTACATTACCTCCCAAAAACTTACTGGAATGCCCTGAAAATCTCGTTATACAGGATGCTTTGTGCACGCGTCATCAACGGAATCGGGACAGGTCATTTGAATGCTATAGTTCCAGTTTGGAGCGCAGAAGTAGCAACTCACACTTCACGAGGTGTGTACTTGTCGTGTACTTGGCTACTCATGCTGATGAGTCTCTTCTACAAGGGGCTTTCATTGCAATGGAGTTTACACTCAACATATTTGGAGTGGTGGTAGCTTATTGGTTAGAGTTCGGCTTGGGTTTTGTCGGCGATGGCAGCACTCAGGTAAAATCTCACTTGATCTATGAATATCTGAAAATTTCTTACTGTATGCGTGTAGGTACGATGGAGGGTCAGTGAATTCACACTTTTCTGCATGACGTGGAGCATATAACTAACCTGTGGATGTAGTTCCCGATAGCGTTTCAGATAATCCCAATCGTGTCATTCATGGTAACTATATCCAGTGCACTTATACTATCTCAGGGAAATGACAGCTTTATATTCGCAGATTGCACTGTTGTGGATGCCCGAGTCTCCGCGTAAGTACAGGTTTTTGATACTATCGTCCCCATGACATAAATCTTGGTATTTGACACATATAGGGTGGTTGGTAAAAGCTGGTAGGGTCAAGGAAGCGGAAGAAATCTTACGGCGCATCCGCGCGACCAAGTCAAATGATGCTGAAAGCGATGCACGCATTGAGCACGAGCTGAATGATATCACTGAGGTTGCTGTGCTTGAGAAGAAACACGCTAGAAGGAACTCATACTGGTCAATGTTCTGGGGCATTGGTGAGTTCAGAAATCTCAACTCTACCCTTGTATAACAGACAGGTTGACCTTGTGCCGCATATAGGATCGGGAGACCTCCATATCGCTCGTCGAGTGCAACTGTCTATATGGCTACAAATTGTTCAGGAGTATGTTAACCGCCCTTCATGTTTCCATCGTTAACCAGAATATAATTTGCAGATGGGTGGGTATTGCTGCTATCACCGTTTACGCTCCAACTATCTTCGCAGAAGCTGGATACAGTCCACGAAAGTCTCAGTGGCTTTCGGGGCTCAACGATGTATGTCAATATGCGCTCTCCCCCATTTCTTTTGCTGATATGCTCTCGAAGATCACGTACATGCTAAGTACATTGGTGGCGGTGGTCACTATTGACCGCTGGGGACGACGGGTTGGTCTTTGGTGGGGTGCAGTAGCGCAAGGCACTGCAATGTTTCTTGCGGGGGGTTTCGGTCGCCTTCTGAAAACCTATCCAGAGCGGGCGAGCGAATATGGTGGGGCGTCTGCATTCTTCATATTTGTTTACACGGCTGTCTTCGGGGCGACATGGTTGACCATTCCCTGGGTGTATCCAACGGAGACGTTCCCTCTTGAGGTTCGTGCGAAGGGAAACGCGTGGGGTGTCGTAGGATGGAGCATCGGGAATGGCTGGTTAACGTTGTTGAACCCTGTAATGTTCAATAGCATCCACGAAAAGTAAGTCTGCTGATATTAATTGCTGTGGGATATAATGACGAGCATTTTGGGGCAGCACGTTGCATATATTTGGTGCGATAAACTTCTTATCCATCCCAATGGTCTGGGCATTTTATCCGGAAACTGCGAATCGGACTCTGGAGGAAATTGATTTGCTGTTTGCGAGCAAAAGTCCATTTGTGTGGGAAGAAGAGCGGCACTTCAGAGAGCTCAAGGAGCTTGGAGTGGACACAAGAGAGGACCATGTATCCCCAGATATAGGTAAAGAATGAAATCTTGTAAGCAAAAATCAATTTATTGTTGTTGCAATCTATCGGGGCATCTTGTTGCGATTATGCACTTCCTCTAGAGTAGCGGAATGTATGTATGTGGAGTCAATGGAACCGGTATACTGGAGGATAACGATAACGAACGAGTCATTTCGATTGTTTCCATCTATCACTACAAGACGCCATTCGCCCCCTTTGTGGTACGGTAGGGTTGTAGTACAGTCACGGTGAAGAACTGGCACAGCCGAGCTCCGACATCAATTCAGTATCCGACTTGTCGCGGTCAACTTGGTTCCAACTTGCATGGTCCTTGCTGTTCTACTATCTTCAGGTTACAATTCACATGCTTAGCTCGTTAAAATATTGCGTATCCTGAGGTTTAAGGGGGCGCTGAGAGCTAAAAGTTGAATTGCTTACGTCGGGAGACCACAAATTCTGTCTGAAGACCGCTTCGGACCTGGGGCCATGATGAATCATCTATCCTTCACAGTATTCTTTCCACCATGTTCATTCGCTAAAGATCGCGTCAAAAGTCGCAAGATTAGGCATTCACTCGTTAAGGAAGTTGGAGAAATCGGTGGAACAACGCTATACCGCTTCTTGGCGCTTTTCCTCCCAGGAGGATCACAAGGTATCCGGTCGATGTATGCCTTTATCACTGGACCGATATGCATCTAGCCCATGCCAACCGGATTTTATTCTTGCTATCCGCCCTTGATTCTAGGAAGACTCGCTTGTTATCTGTGAGAACAAACTCTGGCTGGCGTTGACGTGTCTAATCGACTGGCATTACAAGTCTAACCTGAACACACTCAAGTTGACATGGCTCCGCTGAAAGGGAAGAGACTCTACTACACGATCAATCTTGTCGCTGGTTTGGCTATATTCTTGTATGCGCCATCATGTTCTCTGCTGTGGAATTTCTGCTTACATATTTGGATTTTCAGTTTTGGTTTCGACCAGGGAATAATGGGTGGTATCAATACATCTCCGGACTATGTTAAGACAATGAATCTGGGTTATTCAACGTGCGTGTGTTTCATTTATTTTATTTTAGCAGCCCAAACCATCTTCTTTCACAGGTACCAAGGGCCCTCAGAAGGCTATGTTGCTACGATTACTAATCCCACTCGACAGGGGGGTATTGTTAGCGGTATGTGGACGTAAAGCAGCTCCATGCCGTATATCCTAACTCGTGGATAGCTTACTACCTGGGGACACTCATGGGCGCTATGATAGGAGGGGCGATTGGAGACAGGTATATCTACCGATATGAATGCCTCATTTGGTGCTAATTTTGACAAGAATTGGTCGACTGAAGACTATGGGAATTGTGCGTCCCTTTTAGTCGAATTCGATTGATCGTTCTTTTAAGTCGAGTAGGGAGGCGTTTGGGTCCTCTTCGGGGCTGCTCTGCAATGTACTTCTCAGAATATGTCATGGTGAGATCTCCCCAATATATCTGAGTTTATGCACCAAAGCCACATATGCAGGATGATATGCGCGCGTATCATCAACGGCATTGGCACAGGTCACCTAAATGCTATTGTTCCTGTGTGGAGTGCAGAGGTTGCTACTCATACATCGCGAGGTTCGTGTGCTACCCTCCCTTCCGTTTTGCACATGAGAAGTGTATTGGTGACTATAGGAGCCTTTATTGCCTCGGAATTTACACTAAATATATTTGGAATGGCACTGGCCTACTGGCTGGAGTTTGGTTTGGGATTCATTGGTAATGGAGACACACAGGTAGGGCTTTCAGATTTGGTAGCTCGTGGCTTCTGCTAATCAATTATCTACGCATTAACTTTCTGCAGATACGGTGGAGAGTAAGAATTCGAACCTGAGTAGCATCAACTCCTAACTAAATGGACATTGCAGCTACCTATTGCCCTGCAAATCGTTCCAATCCTTGTTTTCATGGTAGATGCTCAATGCAAATAATGCTCTTGTTTCCTTCAGCTGATGTTTTCATTGGTAGCCAACATTGTATTGGATGCCAGAATCTCCTCGTAAGTCCAATTTCATCAACTAAATATAGCTTCATTTCGTTGTAGTCCTCATCGCTGTGTCTATCTTACTAGGCTGGTTAGTTAAAGTTGGTCGTATTAGTGAGGCGCGAGTCGTCTTGCAGCGCGTTCGGGCTCGCGCTACGGATGACAACGATTCTGATAACGTTCCGAACATAGAGCCAGAACTTAACGACATCACTGAAACTGTCGCGCTCGAACACAAAAACGCCAGAAAGAGTTCGTACTGGTCGATGTTTTGGGGCACTGGTAGGCGTTTTGACCCTCTGTATTTCTGTCGGCCGCTCACAATTCGCCTTCATACTCTCAGATTCTGGTAATTTGCATATCGCACGGCGCGTGCAGTTATCGGTTTGGCTACAAATCATACAGGAGTGCGTTGTTTGCCTATGGGTTTTTCGATTTACCTGATTGTGTCATGTGTTTAATGCGCAGATGGACCGGTATTGACGCTATCGCGATATATGCCCCAATACTCTTCTCAGAAGCTGGATATAGTGCTCGCAAGGCACAGTGGCTATCAGGGCTCAATGAGGTATGAACAGAACCTTTTTAATGCATTTTCGTCATTGTAAACGATTTACGACGACCAGATCACTTACACCCTTAGCACATTGATGGGTGTATTTACAATAGATAGATGGGGACGTCGTTTTGGGCTGTGGTGGGGCGCAATCGGACAGGGCATTGCAATGCTACTGGCTGGCGCGTTTGGGAGGCTACTCAAGACCCAACCTGAACGAGCTTCGCAGTACGGCGGAGCAAGTGCGTTCTTTATTTTTGTGTATACCGCCATTTTTGGCGCAACGTGGTTGACGATTCCTTGGGTATACCCAACTGAGACGTTTCCCCTGGAAGTGCGTGCGATGGGGAACGCGTGGGGTGTTGTTGGCTGGAGCATAGGGAACGGGTGGCTTACCTTGCTGAACCCTGTCATGTTCAATCGAATCCACGAAAAGTTAGCCTTTCCCTGGACTATAATCATCATCGTTGTGCTCACCGTTTCTCGCACATAGTACGTTCTACATTTTTGCTGTAGTGAACTTTTTATCTATTCCCATGGTTTGGGCGTTTTACCCTGAAACGGCCAACCGGACGCTGGAAGAAATCGATCTGTTGTTTGCGAGCAAGAGCCCTTTTGTGTGGGATGAAGAACGGCATTTTAGGGAGCTGAAAAGACTGGGACCAAAGGTGGCTGATGACATAAATAAAGAAGAGGGAGAAAAAGCAGCAGTCGAAGTATAGAATGCAAGTACTGTGGTGATGTGCTGTTGTTTTGCATGTTGTATCCAGTATGACACCTGTTATATCTGATTACCATCAACAGTACATTCGAGTTTAAGTTACCAAGTGTCTAGTCGGACCCAATAGAGGTGTATCTACTCGTGCGTTGTACTAAGAATTAGCATCCCTCTCCTCCAGCTCTTGCGAGCCTCCAGTGTCATATGTTATGCTTATACGATACGATACTGAGCGAGGTGTTTTCTTACGGTGAGTTCTTTTTTCTTCTCCACTATGTTTGCATCCTCTCTGCTATGGCTCCCCTCACAACTACTCGTCTTTCTCAGTCTGTTTCCACAGGACTGGGCCGTCACCTTGTTAGTCCACGCAAACCTCGAGGCAAGCGGAAATCACAAGTACTTTTCAAGATGCCATTCCAAGATTCCAAACGGCGTGAACTACTGGCCAACCTGGAACGGTTGATGAAGGGTGAGGAGCCTGAGCCCAAACCCCAACCATCGTCGACAAATCATGTAAAAACGGAAGAAGACTCCACTCTGGATATCTTCGGACGATGGTACAAGCTTGTATGTCGAAGAAGGTGATCAAGCTGAACGCTCAACCGTCGCCAAGCTCAAGCGCCCTAAAACTCTCGAGCTGTCCGCTAAACGTCTTCATGGCAGCTGGAAGAGATTAATACCAACACTCATTAGGCCCCAGTTGGACTATCGCGCAAGGACATTCGGCAAGACTGTCGATGCTCCTTTGGAGACCCTTTCCCTGTGTACCAAACGTTGCAGTCCTCACAAGCGGGTCCCAGTAATCTGTCTGTTTTTCGATCGTATGTACTTGCTTCTCTAGCTTTTTTAAGTAGTACTCACAGTTTCTAGTTTCCCCTCTATAGAGATACTCAGCTGCCCATGTTCAACCCTTCCACAAATCCTCGTTCACCACGGCCTCTTTCCCACAGCACCATCCCAGCCTCGCTTGGCCATCTCAATCGAGCTTCTATCATTTTATCGCGCCCTTTTCGAGCGATCTCGTGGCGCGACCAAAGCCCTTTCCTCCGCTCTCCATACGCATTATTGGCGGAGAGGATTTAAAATGACGAACTCACAGGTATGTGTTATGGCCATCTTTATCAAATGGAAGACTTATCTCTGTCCAGGGGGAGCTCATCCAAGAACCTTTGCGACGCAGCCTCGGACATGCTGTACAATGGTTTCGACACCTTGCAAGTTGAGATCGAACGGCACGTCGATAATACGATGCAACACGGCCGCAATCCGCCGCCCCCTCATGCAGAAATCATACTGCCCTCCCACATAGACACGCCCCCGCCTTCTCCTTCAGACGATGTCCCATCGCCTCGTCAGGCTTCTGTCGAAGCTGATACAGTCCCTTCAGCAAGCCACATTCCGCCCCCGCCTCCGGAAAACTCCCGTACTATTCACCCCCCTCCCTCTGTGTTGTCCAACAGGCTGAGAGCCATTGAAGAAAACCGTGTTACTATAGTGAGTCCTTACAACCAACATCTCCCTCTGCCTGTTGACGCATAATCCACTGCAGCGCAAGCAAGATGGTGAGGGCTTTTCTGCGGAAGTGGCGCCGCGGAGAGCAGATGGTGGATCCTATCCCTACTATCGCTATGCGCCTGACTTTGTGCATAGGCCATCGTACCCCCCTGACCCCTATTGGCAGGAGCTCCGCCAAATGCCTGGACCAATGCACATCGCTCCCTACGGTCACTACTACCAACATGGTGCATATGGTGTCGAAGGGACATACCGCATGCCATTACAGGATGCTCCAGGGAGTTTTCTGTCCCCCTATGGTGGTATGTATGGGCGTAGTGCCTCTCACCCCTACATGCACGGGTGGGACACTCCCCAGCCCGACTTGCATCGACGCGGCACTCTTCACGAGGGCATGCACGGACGCATGTTTTATCCTGAGGCTGGCTCGTCTTACAGTATCAGAGAGCCAATGTTGCCTGGTTACTATTACCCCGAGAGCCAGCGTGGAAGATATGGTGGGCGTATACCATCTGCGCCTGTGAGAGGCTTGCATGCCAATGAACCCGCGCTTATTCCAGGATCATCTGAAGCCCGTGTACCGCCCACTGGACGAACAGCAGAGTTCACGGCTACTCGCCTACCTGCTGCTCAGCCTAAAAATGATGTTGCAAACGGAGATCCCGAGAACGTGAACCTCCCGTAGGCATGCGCATCCAATTTCTCGTGTCGTTGGTATTCCGAGGTTCGTGTTTTCATGTGCATGTGGTTGAACTATCTTATGTATTCTTGTAGATCGTGCTTTAGAGTCTTGTACGTGCGATACTGATTTCATTTTTTTTTTGGTGCCAGATCTTCTGTGCCGTGTTTGAGATCTAAATCTTAGAATTGATGTATTACAGTCTTGGTGTTAGAAGACGAACAGTATACTTAGCAAAGTGGGTACAGTGGTGGGTACAGTGATATGTACAGCATAGTTCTGGGACTCTATGGATGGTGGTAAGAAGAGCAGCTACGGAGATACGTAGGATGAGATAACATAGGGAAGTGTTAGAGTATCCCAGATAACCAAGCTTCGACGTCCACACAGCGATAGCCCGTGGGAACGATACAGCCACACTGCTCTAACCTTTGCTATGAGTCTAACAGCTTGTTATCGTTCTTCTCGTCAGCATTTATCCTAGTTTGATTCGCCTTCTCACTAGCATACCAATGTCATTGCTCTATCTGCTATCTTTGCTTCTCGTTGGGTCAATTTCTTATCCCACAGGCTACCCTCTTCATCCCATCACACACTTCCTGTGGCCATTTCCTACTGGTGTTTCAATGTCGAATCCCAGTCGGAAACGACAAAATATATACCGAATCACATTGAATTTCGTCGGATATTCAGTGTGATTCGGTATATACCTTAAAACTACCGTAATCCTAGATTATTTTCCAATGTAAAAGACTCGTATCTAATCACAGCGATAGTAAAGTTTTCATTCGATATAATTAGATTGTTGTGGTCTTCACAAATAGCCAGATATCCGAATCAAAACAAATCACATTGAATTATAGCTAATTACAATTATACGAGTGTAAACAAATGAAAATGAATTACAGTAAATTAGACAACACCAAACAAATGGAAATGGATGAACTTCACATAACCATACACATATTCCTCCCGCTCCCTACACATGGCTGTTGTCGTGCCGCTACTTTGTTTTATGACCCTTTGCAATTTCTATATAAATAGATTGTTAGTAAGAAACATACAATAATTGCCCTTACGAACCTTCATTGCAACTTCAGGGATGAATTTTTGAGTAAATTAAAACAATATCAGCTAAACAAAATAAAGCAAATATACAAGGACACAAACCATTTCTTCCTCGAGAGGAAGACACTTTGGTTGGGACTGAGAAGGAGGAAGAGGAGGACATGGTGGTAAGAGAACAACAGACGATGTGAATTCAAATATGATTTCATTTCATTGACTGTGAGGAATCGATTTTTCTTATCGCATTCCCGTCATGTCGTGGTTAGCAGACTCAATCCCCGTCACTCCTCTTGCCCTTGGACTAGAGATTACAGCAGGTGTCTTATTACTTTTATCATTTTTCTTCTTATTCTCTCTTCACACTCACGTTCTATCGTACCTACGACGAGGTAGACTCGTTGTCGACCCTCGAGAAGATATCCAGATGACATAGTCACGATCCAGTGCTATGTCTGGGAATACTTTGGAGGAATATTGATAAGCGAAGAAGGTTGTGAGTCAGCGCCTTCTCATGGGCTTACTGATACAGCCAATCGTACATCCCTTACCAATACGCTTTCTCGTACGATTAGTAAAGACGATAGATCGGACCACTTTCTTCCTTTTTTCTTATTGGTTAGCTAGCTGGTCAGACCACTTTCTCAGTACTCCCCTTTCTCGGTCTGACCATCGTCGTTCACTATATAGAGAAGTACATACTTGATGTATTGTTCTCCAGTTCAATATTAGTTTGGATTTGCGCTCTTACCGATACTCTTCATTCTCATACTCTGATTCACCGCCTTCAAGGAAGGACTTGACCAGACATTGGGCTTTGTTATATAGCTTCGTATTTGTTGCCTGACATTGACGTAATAGTCTTATGTAAAACACTACTGTGCAGCGCAGTCACACATTCACTGCATGAATGCGTAGAATCAAAGTCGAGCTCATCAACTTGAGTCTAAGCTCATCGAATGTTGCTCTCAAATAATTGTGGGAACTTGTTTTGATTAGATTAGATTCGGTATGAATAATGTGACTCTGTGAGATTCTATCTAATTCAATACAAATTGTGTCGTTTTTTACTGGGGTCAAATGGTGTGACATGAGTAGTGGTGCTACTATCACGCATTACATTAGATGTCAATGACTTTTTTTTATTTCATTCATGAATTCCTAAATTCTAAAAAGCATTCTCACTAACCTTTTCTTTGTCTTTTCTCGTGTCAGACACAAATGATCATCTTACAGCGCTGCAACCCTTCATTCTACCCTGCTTCCCATCTGGCTAACATGCGTGTTTCTTGCTTCTATAAATCTACGTAGGCAACTATATCTTCTTTCAGGTCGGACAAATTGCGACCTAAAATAATCAATTCCTACTTACAGTGTCCCCCCTTGGCGCACATTGGAGTAGGCCTGGAGAGGAACCAGATAAGATTGGAGGCATTAGTAAGCTGTTATAATTGACGTACCAGTACCTACTTACGCTTCACCTTTTTCATAATTTTACTTTTATTTTTCCAAGTCACATGACCAGTCATGTGACCATTTACTTTACTTTACATTTTCGACTTTTCATAGTCACATGACCAAGTCATGTGACACAACACCTGACCAATGTCTAGACTCATCATGTGACTAGTCACATGCTAGACATCAGACTTTAAACTTTATTTACAACTGTACAGTACCTCATATATTTTAGTATATATACAGGAGCAATACATGGGGAAGGACTCAGCGAGTCCTCCTGTTGTCTACCAACAACTAACTTGTTGAAACCTAATGGGTAACCACTCCCACCTCTTCCTCTTATTTTGAGTGTTGTTTTCATTGTGCTCCAGTGCCCCAAGACTGTATCTTGTTGGTGTTGTCACAGGAATAGTTAGTAATGCAGCAAACAAAAGACATACCTAGAATGGAGACGGGAATCGACAAACAGTGCAAACTTGGACGCTGATTCACCTGAATACTGATGAAGGACACAAAGCGACTGAAATTGACCGGGTAAATTGGACGAAAAAATGGGGAGATCAGGCAAAACCGGATGCAGGAAAACTATACCCATTAACACCAGGAACAGCACTGGCTGGGTCAGGAGAGTGCACAAAGTGCGGATGGGGAGGCCATAAAGGACATCAGTGCTATCATAGAAGGACGGAACTCCCAGCACTTGAGCAACTCTTCCGATGGACGGTGGAAATAGAGCCAGCAAGCATCATGATCGTCACCGACAGAGGAGAAATGGAAGTGACATGGGATGAGTGGCAAGAGCAAGAAACGGCGAGAAAAGGAAAGGGGAGGGCTTGAAAGCAAGCGGTGAAAGTCACTCCCCACAATGGAAGCTGTCAAGAGATCAAACAACGACCACAGTGGAAACAGAGTTGACAGTAGGAGAAAAAGGTCAAACGGACACTAAACAGAACAAGCAGATAGAAGTGAATAATGAGTGCGTAAAGGGGAGTTGTCACATGTACATAAAAACATTAACAGTATCCTACCGATACACTCAATCGATCCAACGAATGAAAAAGAAACTTGTCATCTCTTCAAACATATGATTACATTGAAATCAATACAGAACAAGCACGAAAACCTATTAGCCATAGTAAACGATGGAGCAATGAGGAACACGATAGATACAGCAGTATAGGCAAAAATAAAAGGAAATATGGGGGAATTGAAAGAATCAGGAATGAGAGGAAAGACGGTGAATGGCACTGTGTTAAAATCTCAGGGAAGATGGGTTGGAGTAGTCCAAATCATGGACAGAACAACAGTGATTGGATTTGGAATCTTCGACTCAGGAGGAGCCTTTGAAGTCCTACTAGGGAAACCATGGTTAATCAAAAGTGCAGCAGTACATTTTTACAAGAACAACACACTACAACTGACAGACGACAAAGGCACTATAATACTGCAAAGCCATAATAAGATGCAGAAAAAAGAAGAGACCATGACAAAGAAAAAAGACAAACCACCAGAACAAAAACGTACAGAGGAAACTGAAGGAGAAGAACAAACAAATACAGATGGAGGAGACAAACAAAAGAAAGAAGATCAAGCTACAAACGACAAACAGAAGTGGGACAGAGGGGGGAGATTGAGAAGGAAAGCGGAAACGAGGATAGAAGCAGTGGTAATGGTAGGTGAGAAGCAAGAAATCGTTGGCAAGAAAGAGAAGAAGTTGAAAAAGGACAAAGACGAAAACGAAGAGATATATGCACACCTTGCAAAAGTTATCTCCAGAAGGGAATGGAAGAAAGAACGCGAGATGATAGGAGAACTAAAATGATTAGCCACAATGTATGGAAGGAAAAAGAGAGATTGGAGAAAGGAAACATCACCAACAAGGAGACAAGCAAAAAATGAACAAGACAAAGTGCAAGCATTCTTGATGCTAAAAGAACAAGAAGAAGCCCAATGAAGTAACCGATTCAACAAAGAAAGGGTAAAAAAGATACAAGAATTAATAACAATTAGACAACAAATGGAAGAAGACCAAAAAGCAAAAGTACACACATTGATTGAAAAGTACGCTGACGTGTTTGCATTATTGTTAGCAGGAGTACAGCCAGTGGCATCATACATACATAAATTGAATCTCCCACCAGACGTATCAGGACCGACGAGACTGTGACAGAAAATATTGACGGAACCACAAAAGGAATGGTTGTATGCAATGCTTGATGACATGGTAGAAGCAGGCATAATACGGACAATGTCAGCAAACAAAGTTAAATGGGTCTCAGAGGTGAACATACTACCGAAGAATAGTGGAAAAAACAAAACAAAACCCGAAGAGATCAAACGGAAAGCAAATGAAGTGTTAGTGAGAGCAAAACTACCTCCTAAATGGATAGACATATCAAAATCAGTGGCACAACGACAAGAAAACACGAGTACAGAAACAGTAAACAATCGGAAAAAATGGGGGCTTACATTGAATTTTATCCCATTAAACAAAGTAACACCAAAGACAGTATTTGATATAGGTGACCTAGAAGGAAAACAGATGAAAGTGGCCGGAAAGAAATGGATAAGTGTCATGGACTTTCACGCTGGATTCTATGCAATACCGATACAAGAAAGTGATATACCATATTTGGTGTTCCACGTACCAGGACGAGGTTACTACGCGTACCTAAGAATGCCACTTGGACTAATGGGAGCGCCAAACACATTCAATAAAATGATAGCCGACACATTTTCAGATATGATCGGAAGGGACTTTGAACCATGGGTAGACAATGTGCAATAGCAGGGGATGTTTTTTGAAGAAAAGCTGAGTGTCATTGACAAATTCATGGCACAATGTAGGGAAAATAAATTATCATTAAACCCAGGAAAAACACTTCTAATTCATGGCCAAAGCAAAATACGCAGGAGTAATAGTATCGAAAGAAGGACTAAAGCCGGACAGAGCGAAAATTGAAACAATACTTGATTGGCCACAACCAACAACAGTGCACAACATATTAGGATTCCTAGGACTCACAGAACATTTCAGACCTCTAATAGCAAACTATGCAAGGATAGCACAACCAATGTTGGGCTTGATAAGAAATATCAAACCAAGTACGCCAAAAGGAGCAAAACAACGGAAAAGAGTGTATAAAAGAGCATTAATGGACATGAACATAAGAGATAAGTGGGGGGAGGGACAAGAGATAGTATTTGCTAGACTAAAAACAGCACTGACAACAGAACCAGTCTTACGACCACCACGGTGGGACTTACCGTTCACAGTAACAACAGACAGATCCAAAACAGGATTTGGTGCTACATTATCACAGAAATGGCCAACTACAACAAGTGATGGGAAAACAAAAGTAGTAGAGTATGCCATGGCATATGCATCGAAACAAACATCAATGTCGGAAGAATCATACTCACCATATTTACTGGAATTCGCAGCACTACACTTTGCGTTGGGAAAATTCAACAAATATATTCACGGACAACCAATTGTAACAGACTGCAAAGCTCTTTGGGGCATGTTGAACAACTCAGACTTATCAACAGCGCACGCAAGATGGAAGGAAAATTTAATTGGATGAGACATAGTTCAGGTCGTGCATCGAGACGGCGAAATTAATCAAGCTGATGGACTTAGCAGAATATGGCAAAATGCGAATGATGTTCCAGGCAATGGGAAAGAGTATTCTGTCACACCAGAATGGGACATACGAACTGGAATAGCTAATGATGTTTTCATTCTAACCCCAGACAACATTGCAGAAGAAGTACTACAAAGATATAAAAAAGATAGGTACTCCGCAGAGATAGTGGAATGGCTTATTACGCTGACAGCACCGCCAGAATGGGGATGAGGAAGAAAAAAATCAGTTAAAGCACGAGCAAGTTCATATATTGTAGAAGAAAAAATGCTGTGGCAAATAGCAGGGAAAAACGGAAAAAGAGCACCTAAAGTTGAATGCATACCAGGAGACGAAGGACTTGAACGAGCAAAACAATGCCACCAGGAAGGAGGACACTTTGGAAGAGATTTGTGTGAAGCAGAATTGCGACGGAAATTTTTCTGGCTGAACATGAGGAAAAATGTTATGAAAGCAATTAGCAAATGCACCAAATGTAAAGCATTCAGATCGCAACACTTAAACGCACTATCAAGTCCTATTACTCGCTCACGGCCATTCCAACTTGTAGCAGCTGACTACTTATCGTTGCCAACAGGATATGGGCAATATAAAACAGTCCTATTGTACATAGACGTGTTCTCAAGATTTGTCTGGGCATCAATGTACAAATGCTCGGGCACAGGAGCATCTACAGTACAGGGACTAACAGACATATGCAGAGGTTATGCATCTCCCAAACAATTGATGACCGATGGAGGATTGCACTTCGATTGCGATGAAGTGACAAAATGGTGTAAAGAAGAAAATGTGGAAATAATATGAACACCAGCACAATCTCCCTGGGTCAACGGACTAATTGAAGATGCAAACAAAATCTTAATAGGCCGGCTAAAACGATTGTGCACACCAGGATACAAAGAAGACGAAATAAATTTTAACATCAAAGCAACACCAACAAAATGGCTATTATACCTACAACAAGCAATAGCACAGATAAACAACAGGGTACTACCTTCGCTAGGGTACAGCCCTCGAGAACTAATGTTGGGAATGGTCCTAACGGAAGGAGAGAAAGTAAGCAAACCCACAGAAGGCATAAAGACAGTGGAATGAAGAAACAGCTGAAACGCACCTAGCATTTGTCAATGGAGTTGAGCCGAGGGTTTTTTGAAAGCACTGGAGCATGTGAAGAAATGGAAGGACACTTTTGATAAGAAAGTGCGACCAGTAAACTTTAAAAAGGGGAGATTTTAGTCCAAATATTCATAGGAAAAGAAGACACTCACAAAGTTACTAGGAAACTTAATGGTGCAATGGTCGGGGGCCTATGTGCCTCATAAATAAATGGGAAAACTCATACGGGGTACAAAGGTTAGAACAGACAGAACAGGAGGCGGGGATCTAGACTACATGCAAGATGATTACCACCGGGTCTACCCCGAATTGAAGGGCTCACAAAGTTGGAAAAAAATGGCGAAGG